TTTGTTTTGTAGGTAGTATAAATGGGCAAAGTTGGATTTTGTAGATATACTTTGTGTTTGTATATAGTATAAATGGATAGATTTATCTGGAATTGCAAATTTAATTTTACAATATAATTTACACTATAACACCTTTTTACCAAATAATTTATCATTTTCATAAGAAACATTAATTTGTTAAAGTAACATCAACACCTGCACATATGAACATCAATCACATTAGTGATTCAAATTTGTATGCTACTATATGTAAAGTATGACTTTACTATGCAAATTATATAGTATAAAATACTATGTTTAACTTCAACATATAATATAATTTGAAGGCTATTTAATTATATGTGTATATAGAACAATATATAATTTAATACTATAATATAGAACTCCTAGTCGTAAAACTTGGTCAAAAAAGGTATTTTGGTCTAATAAATTAAAATGGTTAGGGTTTTTGGTTGGTTAGTTAGTTTGTTTCAAAAGCCTTATAGCTATAAACTTAATTTTACAGCTCAATATGTTAGTCTCCAAATTGACCCAACAATAAATTATATACGATTTGCTATTAGTTTTTTTTTTCGGTGTTAAGTTGATTGTTGTCATGTATTTATTGATAATGTAAAATATAATTATTATAAATACATAGTAAATAAATATATATATCTAATTAAACCTTTAAATACATCGAATAATACATACTCCAGCAAATATATTAAAATGGTAATAATTTTTGTGATACTTCTTTTTGTATCTTTTTCGCTACAGTAAAAATTGGGAATGGTTTCTCTAAGTACTGTTATTTGTAAATTTGTATTGATCTCCTTTGTAGGAACTTTTAGCCGTGAAGCAATTTGAATGTGTGCCTCCTTTTCTTATTGCAGATGGATCCATCTTGGCTCTTGCCTCTTCACAATATGACATTGACAAACCCATGCTATATTAGAAATTAGAATGGTCCATGAAAAATCCCCACTATGCAAGTGAAAGCTATTGTTAATGTTTACTAGTGCTATATGGAATTGGCCTTTGTTGTTTACTGTGCAAGTGAAAGCTGTAGTTATTGTTTATATGTTTGCTTGTTTGTTTACCTTTTATGCATAGGTATATCAATAATATCCGATAAAATTACAAGCTGCAACTGTTCCCGGTAGCTTCTGGACAAACTAATTTTTGGAGAATGTGCAACCCACATATAGACATTCTCTCCAGATATGCAAATGAACTGAAAGCAATAATTAATTTCTGTGTGAGTGAAACGATCTTTGTATTTTTAGTATTTGTGAAATCTTCAATGTTAGGCTCTTGGTATAATCGCAGATCCAAATCAGATTAATTTTTTTTTAGTAAAACTTGAAAATTTTCTTTGAAAAATAGAAAAAGCTCATAAACAATCTAAAATATCTCTGTCATTTTGTCACACCTCGGGTTCCTCGCAACAATTTGGTTGAAGTTGTTATCAAAGGTTGACTCTCTGTCTGAAAATAGATTATGTGTGCTATTTTTTATATAACAAACCTACTTCTCGAGACCAAAATTGTTAATATCTAATTCGCTTGTCGATAAAAAAAATCTGAATGTTTTATAACAAATTTATTTTACCTACATGTTTTCTTTTTAATATTATAGTATATGTTTTTGGATGTGAAGAGCCCGATGTGTGACAAAATGAGTAGGAAAACAAATTCAGATGTATTTGAGGATTTTAATGAAAAAAGCGATCAAAATTGTTAACAACTCACAAACTGGTAAAGATATATATGTTTATTAATTATTATTAATAATTTTCAATACATTTAGATATGAAATGACTAAAAGTCGCAACAACAACGATATTGACCTTCAGAGCCAACGCATTGACCAGTTCGGAATCCCATAATATGACAATCAGTCATACATGCTGCAAGTTTATTACAGAGTCCAACGCATTGTGATTTTGTATATTCAGCTTTTCCTAATAATAAGAATTTATTAGTATTTTTTGTAGTTTTCTATCAAAATAGATATGATGAGATATTCGATATACTAACCAGTAACCATGAGAAATAAGATGATTATCGAAAAAGTCAATACAAAGTTTGCGAATCCACTCTTGCAATACATTTTCACTGTATTACCAAAGATTCAAATAGATCGTTTTTGCTTGTATATTTGTTTATATATATATATATATATATATATATTTTTTTTATAGATTTTAAAATTCAATTTTTGTTTTTGTATCATTTTCTGGCACATTTTCAATATTAAGTTACCAATCTAGGAGGAATATTTTCTTTCTTTGTGTAGATACTTTGACTTTCAATTTAGATTCGTTATAATTTTCATAAATTGATGTATTTCAAAAAAAATTTGACTAGTTATAATTTCCATTTATATATAGATTACGAAATTACAGAGATCTTTGACTCAAGTTGGATTGGTATTATCAATTTGTCTTGGATTGCATATACAGTTGAAACTCTATAAATTATTAATAAATTAATAAACTTCACAAATTAATAATTTTGCTCGGTCTCGAATTGGGTTTGTTCAAAATTTAATACAAATCGATAAATTAATAAGATTATATTTTTTTTAAAAACCTATGTAAAATATAGTTCAATTAATATTATAATTTAATAAATATTATATAAAATAATTATATATATATAATTATGATCGTCTTTTAAAATATAAATATATTGTTGTTTTTAATATTAAAATTGAAATATTTGTTATCTTTAATTTTATAATGAAAATTTTGAAAAATATTATAAATTTTAAAGAAAACATTATGTTTAATTTATTATTAATAAACAATTTATTTTATCCAAACTGATAAATTTATAACTCTATAAATGAATAATATATCAATATCCCAACATTATTAATTTATAGAATTTTTAATGTACGTTATATAGTGTGTGTTTTTCCTAAAATACTCTTATATGAAGAAAATAAACGCATGGATTTTGTTCTATTTTTGTTTTGTATGTAGTATAAATGGGCAAAGTCGGGTTTTGTAGATATACTTTGTGTTTGTATATAGTATAGATGGATAGATTTATCTGGAATTGCAAATTTAATTTTACAATACAATTTAGACTATAACACATTTTTATCAAATAATTTATCATTTTCATAAGAAACATTAATTTGTTAAAGTAACATCAACACCTGCATATATGAACATCAATCACATTAGTGATTCAAATTTGTATGCTACTATATGTAAAGTATGACTTTTTTTTTTCGATAGCCTCAATCTCTTCTAGAATGGTGTTAGCCATTCTGGGGGAGTTGAGTTTACATTATACAGATGGTAAAGGTGGTCTTGAGCGCCTCGTGCTAACTTATCCGCCTTAGTGTTCTGCGTTCTTGGAATTTTTGAAATTGAGAAACTCTCAAATTCCTCTAGATGTAAGGAGAAAGCCGGTCATCCTTTTGGATCCGACACCATCATCAATAGTTCTGAGCTATCAGTTAAAAAGACCACATTTGGTCTCCCATTGTCAAGCATACAGTACTTCAAAGTATAACTTTACTATGCAAATTATATATAAAATACTTTGTTTAACTTCAACATATAATATAATTTGAATGCTATTTAATTATATGTGTATATAGAACAATATATAATTTAATACTATAATATAGAACTCCTAGTCGTAAAACTTGGTCAAAAAGAGGTATTTTGGTCTAATAAATTAGAATGGTTAGGGTTTTTGGTTGGTTAGTTAGTTTGTTTCAAAAGCCTTATAGCTATAAACTTAATTTTACAGCTCAATATGTTAGTTTCCAAATTGACCCAACAATAAATTATATACGATTTGCTATTAGTTTTTTTTTCGGTGTTAAGTTGATTGTTGTCATGTATTTATTTATAATGTAAAAATATAATTATTATAAATACATAGTAATTATATATATATATACATCTAATTAAACCTTTTAATACATCTAGTAATACATACTCCAGCAAATATATTAAAATGGTAATAATTTTTGTGATACTTCTTTTTGTATCTTTTTCGCTACAGTAAAAATTGGGAATGGTTTCTCTAAGTACTGTTATTTGTAAATTTGTATTGATCTCCTTTGTAGGAACTTTTAGCCGTGAAGCAATTTGAATGTGTGCCTCTTTTTCTTATTGCAGATGGATCCATCTTGGCTCTTGCCTCTTCACAATATGACATTGACAAACCCATGCTATATTAGAAATTAGAATGGTCCATGAAAAATCCCCACTATGCAAGTGAAAGCTATTGTTAATGTTTACTAGTGCTATATGGAATTGGCCTTTGTTGTTTACTGTGCAAGTGAAAGCTGTAGTTATTGTTTATATGTTTGCTTGTTTGTTTACCTTTTATGCATAGGTATATCAATAATATCCGATAAAATTACAAGCTGCAACTGTTCCCGGTAGCTTCTGGACAACATTGCTCTTTCTCTTCCTCGGAGGTTAAAGTCTTGTAGCAAGATCCATACTCTTGCATTATTTTGTCTACTACAGTGTGAAATGTTTATTGATATAAAGGTCTAAATTTGATGCTGAAACACGAGCGAATTGCACTGTTTATCATTAGAGTGTAGTCGGTTTATAGTGCATGGAGTTATGTCGGATGACTTTTAATCTTCATTTCATCCGATGCTCTTATATAGTTCGCCAAGAACAATTTAAACCAGCATACCACAGAGGTGCCCTTAAATGGTTCGTCTTTTGAATATCAATACAGTGTATTCAGTCTAATTACTTTTGGTTTTCTTTAGCTACTTTTAGAAAATAAACCCATACTCTAATATACATTTTTGGATGTGTAGGGCTTGGTTGATCAGTCTATTAAGGAGTAGAAAAACAAATTCAGATGTAAAAAAAGCTTTTAAAGAGAATGGAATAATAAACAAATTGAGATACATATACCTCATCTTAATCTTAAATTATGGCTATTAACCCTTTTCTAAGTCTCAAAAAAAGAAAAAATACGAACCGCAAGAGGCTGTGCATGTATCGCCGTGTATAAGTCGTGCTAGCTTCGGTTAGGTGTTTGTTCAGGAGCTGACGTCTTAAAGGCAATAGATGTTGCTACACGTGATGGTGTTGATCTTTTGTCATTCTCTATCGCATCTTCGGTTCCTTTGTATCAAGAAACCGGTGGTAACTTTCCATCTGTTGCAGTAGATTTCAAGCTTGGAACCAAAATTCTGTTCTATATACGCTCTACAAGGTATCAACACCCAACTTTCACAGCTTCTTTGACCAAATATTTTCATATATTACCACAACTCTTTTTTTGGTTTTGAATTTGCAGATCTCCTTCTGTAAAGATACAAGCTTCAAGAACACTTGTTGCACAACCTGTGGCCACAAAGGTCGCAACTTTAGAGGACCCAATTCAACTTTCTTCATACACACAAGTCAATTTTCTCATCAAGAGGACCCTTTTCATGCATCTTCAACCCCATAAGATTCTCTGTTTTTCTTGATAAATCTTTCTATTAATGCAGGCGTATAGCAGCACCTGAGGTGAACTGTGAAGAACATACGAGCAGCTATTTCTCCCAATACTTCTTTCACCAATAGAGGATTATCCATGCAAAGAGGGACATCAGTGGATAATCCTGTTGTTTCAGGAGTTGTTGTAGTGCTCAAATCAGTACACCCTCACTGGTCTCCTCCTGCTATCAAACCAGCGATTGTCACCACCACACTCTTATCATCTCCAAGTGCTTTGTTACATTGACTAATAAAGATTGTAGGAACTTCTTGATACCGAGAAACACATTTTTTGGACATTGCAGCTTGGAAAACTGATTCATCAGGAGAGCCAACATCTTGTACATGTGTGCCTCTCTGATTACAATGACACCTTCATTTCTCGAGTTATAGTGAAAGCAACAGTCTGTCCTAAACCAAAGCCTTCTGTTATTGATCTAAACTTGACACCGACATTCTCTTCTAGATACGATCCACAAGGTATCGTTACCCAACTTTCAAATACCAAAGCATTTCAAGGATCAGATGAGAACCTATGTTGCCACAACCTTTTCAGTTTTACAGATCTCCTTCTGTAAAGATTCTGGCTTGAAGAACAATTGTTGCACAACCTGTAGCCAAAAAGGTAGCAACTTTCTCATCAAGAGGACCTGTCACCATAGTTTATTAACCAACAAGAGTTTAAGAAGAACCTATTGATCCGAGGGAACACATTTTGACATTGCAGTTTTGAAAACTGATCCATCAGGAGAGCCCATTCTAGCAGACGGATCAAGCCGCAAGCTAGCTGACCCGTTCGACTATGGTAAAAACAGAGAAAGCTAACACACGACTACATCTCGTACTTGTTCCCTGCTCATTACAATGACACCAAAGCCTTCTGTTTTTGATCTCAACTTGCCTTCTACCACAATTTCAAACCCCAGAGAAGAAGTCACTCTCACAAGAACCATAAAAAAACGTTGGACCCCTTAATTCTGTATACAGAGTCGTGATCGATCCTCCTATAGCACCCAACGAAACTAGTGTTTAACTCTAAAGCTACAAAGTTACCTTTCATGGTTCGAGTCTCCACTACACACAAAGTAAACACTCGCTACTTCTTCGGAGTATTGAATGTGGCAATCCTATTATCCGTGAGAACCCAGATGCTGCAATGATACTACGACGAGAACCGATGTGAGCCAAAAGCAGATTTGTGAAAATCATAATGCTGATGAACAATACTATTTGTGTAATTTCTGTAGTTAAATTGGAGTCTATTTATCGATTCATACTCACCCGATGAGATCTACGGCGAATTTGGATTCGTACTGAACCTATCGGCGAGTTTCATATGAAGCAGTTCCATTGATGAGCTTTTTCAACTAAATCTCTGAAATCGAACGAGATAAAATTGAAACGGGGAATCGCTGAGAAACGAGGAAGATTGCATCAAAACAAGAGTAGTAAATTTCAGAAATCTCGGATCGGAAACAAAGATAGAGAAATCAAAGGGATTGGAGAAGAAAGTGGAAACTTCTGTATTGACGAAACTACCCTTGGTTGAAAAACAAAAGGAAATAGAGAAATTTCTTGGATACTAAGCAATTAGTTTCCTTATTTCGGCTCAACGAGTCTCACAGTAGCCTTATATACTTCATCACTCTTACACTCTCTTTCTTTCCATATTCTCTCGATTACCCATCAAAAGCAAATTGAAACCCTACCCACCTGAGTTTCTTTCGTTATACTGTCTTCCCGATGATGATTGCGACGGATTTGATTTCAGCCGCGATCAAGGCGACTTGCAATACACAGAGCCCAGGCGGAGTCGAGCGATGTGTGGATGTCTTGAATCAGTTGAATTCTCTGTCTCTCTCCGCCACGGATATTCGTCAATTGTCTGTGCCAATCTTTAAACTTGAGACTCTGAGAAGGCATAGGAACCCTAAGATCCGTAAGGAATCTCAGTCCTTGTTTGATTCCTGGTTGATTACTCTCTACGCACAAGGAAGAGACCAATCTTTGAAGTCCGGTCTTACCCAGATTCGTCTGAAGCCGAGAAATCTTGCGTGTTCTTCGGAGTTGAACAAGAAGAAGAAGAAAGAAAAAGAACAGAGTTCTCTTATGACTCTTGAACCGGAAAAGATTAAAAAGACTGGCTTTTTGGAGACGAAGAAGAGACAAGACTCGAAAGCGTCGAATACCAATCTTTTGGAGACGAAGAGGAAACGGGACATCAAAGACAAAGATGGTAAAGTTACAACCAAAGCCTTGATCCCTCCTCCCAGAAGGCATGTCTATACGACAAAAGAATCTGGAAACCCTAGATCTGAGGCCTTGAAGAGGACGACAGAGGAGATGGTGGAGCTCTTCGAATCAGCAAAGAAAGCTGCTGATGTGGCAAACGCGAAAGGTATTCTCTTGGGGAAAGCAGAGGCGTCACGATGCGTTGATGCTCTCTCTTTACTGATGAAAATCAATTTCATCCCAAAACCTAAAGAGCCAATGCGGATGATGGAGAGACTTGAGAGACTTACAAAGCACAAAGATCTTAAGATTTGCTCTGCTGCATCTGCCCTTCTTCGACTTTGGAGACAGAGGGTTAGAGAACAAGAACGCAAAGACTCCATTGGATTCAAAAGGTTCTGAGTCATCTTTGTATCAAGAATATGAGACGTAATCAATTTGTAAGCCTAATTGAGTGTTTTGAAGTAAAATTCTTTGTGTCTTTACAAAATGTAGGAAAGTTTTTATCTGTAAGCAATTGTTTCGATTAATAAGATCTAAAATTTTTTACAGTTCCGTTCATGTCTTTCATCAACTGGTTTTAACTTCATTCATACGATGGTAAAAATTCCTGAAAATAAGCTAATCTTTTAAAGTGAAGAATTAGCGTTTACATTCTCTACTAGTGTTGAAGCGTTCACCGACCCTTGAGTTAACCAAGATTCCCTTGACTGTAACATAACACAAAGATTAGAAATCGAAAACAGGAAAGATAATCTACAAAGACTCTCAATGCAAAACCATCATTAAGGAGCAAGATTCAAATTTGAGAAATCAAAAACGGGAGAGAAAGTCACACATTTATAGAGTAAGTAACAACAAAGAACTAACAAACCACATAGAATTGCAGAAAAAGTTACAAAGATGACTCTATGCGTATCAGTTACATAGATGAGTCTATGAAAACGACAGAGAATCGTGACATAATAAACATAAGACACATTTTCAGACATTGATGATGAACCTCAGTCATTACCACACATAAAGAAAACCCACAATTTATTCTGTCTCCTGACATCGATGATGAACTGCAGAGAAACAAACAGAAAGGAAATAGATTTCCGAAATCTAAAATCACAGAGTCTCGTACAGAGTGGAAGAATCACATGCTTTGAACCTATTTTCAGAAATAAGGTTAGAACATCATCTTCAACGAGGGACAATTGATCCGAAGCCGACAAGGTGTTGCAGGAGTAAAGTAATTGTAGGTTTCATCAAAGCTTGCCACAGCGAGTATTCTGGATAACGGAAACTTTGTGCTGAGGGATGCCAACAACAGCGATCCACAATACTACCTTTGGCAAAGCTCTGAAGAACCGACATGTACTTTACTCCCGGAGATGTAACTCAAATGGTATACACATGAACAAAATTCCGAGAAGCCTAATAAAAAAAATAATAATAATATGCACACAAATGCCCACAAACTCGAATCTGTCAAAAGGTTAAAACTTTCGAAATGGGCATTTTCTAAAAACGAGAGGATAAAAGGGAAATGAGGCTGGTTTTAGTGACAGTCATTGGTATATAAGGCTGGCTTGGAGCACAAGATACGTGAGGAAAAGAGAAAGACAATAATAGATTATGGGCCTTGTGTCTAAAGTCGTCTTGTGCCACAAACTTGTGTCTCTATCAATCTACTTCCCTACATGGCCATGTTCCGACTGCATAGGATCATGTATGGTCGACAAACATAAAGAGACAATTGTTGATAAAGAGAAAGTGAGACCCATAATAATAGTACATGTAAGTAAACTATTCATTGACAATTGATGTATATGCCCATAATCGAAGTCTTAGTTTTGTTGTCACAAGACACTATTTGAAGAAGACAATACCAAATTCACCTTCACCAAGCTTATTACTCTCTGAAAAAGTATGTGTTGCACCTTGAATTGTCCTAAAATCGAGCCGAGAGTCCTCTGTTGTAACACTATCTCCTGTTACAATATAAGTTTTAGTACCTTTTGTATCAAATATCCTCCTTGTCCCCATTGTAATAAAACCAATAATGAAAAGTAGAACAACTACACCAATTGCAATGATTATGGCTAATGTAATGCCATCTTTCCCTGTGTTTTTAAAGATGAGATAATGTCACACAAATAACCAAATCTTGAATCTCTTTAAAGGTAGAAACATTCGAAAAGGGTCTAAAAGGAGGAAGTAAGAAAGAGGTCTGACCAAGTCGCGTAGGAGAAGATGCCGGACTTTGAGCAGAAGCCATGAAGCTTGCGAGGAAGAATACATGGTTTGGTTGACTTGTTTAGCATCAAGATCCTTCTCAAGAACAATTATAGCCTCTCTCTCACTCTCTGTTTCTGCTCGTGATGTTGACTGTTACGAAGAATAGTCAAAGTAAAGTCGTCTTCATTAAATGTGGATTGATATATTGTGTTGTGGCATTTTTATGAACACAAAAGATTTTTCGAGTGGCTAAACAAAACACACTTCACTTCTGGATCATTTTTTTGGTATTTGTCTTAGTTTGGTGATATTTTCCGGAAAGTTTAGAAGTATGAAACTCCACGATTCTGAAAATCATTTACAAAAGCTGAGTGTCTCTATGCCTCTCTGAAAACGCCAGAAACTGTTGATGTTATATATAATAGATCCTTTATGTTCAAACAACAAGTTATTATGATGCTCAACAGCTTTTATTGATCTAAGGCGACCAAAAATCTTAGTTTTGTTTTAATAATAAAAGTGTAGTTTGTACATATCGTTCGTACTTTTATAAGATCACTCTAACAAAATAAATGACAACTTAAGTATGTTAGTTGCTTTGAGGTCACGGTATGTTAGTTTCTTTGAGGCCAAGGTTTTGAACCGTGAATCTTAATGAATTTATAGAAGCCCTCGAACAATCTCCCTTGGATACTCATGTACCGTATATAGAAACGCACTCCAATGGTTCTCCAAGCTCAAACCAAACTTCATCGAAACTGACTTTTTGGAGTCGAAGAAGAGACAAGACTCGAGATCGTCTCAGACTCGTGAAGCCGTGGAGAAAGCGTCAAATACCAATCTTTTGGTGACGAAGAAGAAACGGGACATCAAAGACAAAGATGGTAAAGTTACAACCAAAGCCTTGATCCCTCCTCCCAGAAGGCATGTCTATACGACAAAGCAACACCTGACTAAAGAATCTGGAAACCCTAGATCTGAGGCCTTGAAGAGGACGACAGAGGAGATGGTGGAGCTCTTCGAATCAGCAAAGAAAGCTGCTGATGTGGCAAACGCTAAAGGTATTCTCTTGGGGAAAGCAGAGGCGTCACGATGCGTTGATGCTCTCTCTCTACTGATGAAAATCAATTTCATCCCAAACCTAAAGAGCCAATGCGGATGATGGAGAAGCTTGAGAGACTTACAAAGCACAAAGATCGTAAGATTTGCTCTGCAGCATCTGCACTTCTTCGCCTTTGGAGGCAGAGGATCAGAGAACAAGAACGCAAAGACTTCATTGGATTCAAAAGGTTTTGAGTCATCTTTGTCAAGAATATGAGATGTAATCAATTTGTAAGTCTAATTGAGTGTTTTCAAGTAAAATTCTTTGTCTTTACAAAATATGTAGGAAAGTTTTTATTTGTAAGCAATTGTTTCGATAATCAATAAATAAGATCTCAAATTTTCTACAGTTCAGTTCATGTCGGGTTAACTTCATTCATACGATAGTAAAGATTCCAAAAAAACAACACAAGAGATTAGAGATAAGTTACTAATAATAGAGGACAGAACACACTTGAAGTTTTGTTAATTACAATTCTAACGAAGTATTTGGTTGTATTCTTGAGATGGAATACTTTGTAAGCCTGGTTGAATGTTTTTTAGTAAATTTTTTTGTCTTTACAAAATGTAGGAACAAAAGTTTATCTGTAAGTAATTGTTTCTATTAATAAGATCTCAAAATTTTTATAGTTCCGATCATATCTTTCATCAACTGGTTTAACTTCAATCATACGATAGTAAAGATTCCTGAAAACAACACAAGAGACAAGTTACTAATTTTGTTAATTACAATTCTAATGCAAATTTTTTTTGTGTGTTCTTGCTTTGTATTGAGTAGATGGAATCAATGTTAGAGAGAGAGAGAGCTCTGTTTATATATACAGAAAATGAATGTACAGAGAAGGCAATACTATATCTGAAAGTTAATATAGTATTATAGCAGGAAGATAATATTATTCTTTCTTTGTCTTATCACTTTGTTTATGGGCATCAGGAGGAATCCTCTGATAGAAACACTTTGCAGTAAGTTAAGTGAAAAGTGAAAGTTTCAGGTTTAAAGTGTGGCTGATGGGTAAAGGAGAGGTTCTTATGGCTTAATCTGAAGATAGACACGATGATGCAAGTTTGGTGGAGTCTGCTTATTGGGGAAGGTTTTGTAGAGTGTTTCGATAGCTGAAATTGACATCATGGGTTGTAGAGTTGATGTATATTGTCACGATCCGGACCCGACCCATTTGAATAAGTTTAAATGGATTAATTTGGTTACCTATGTCAAAGTGCACTTATCTTTTCGATCATAGGTTTCGAGAGAACTCCACAGTTAAGGGTGCTTATGCTGGAGTAGGACTAGGATGGGTGACCTTTCGGGAAGTGATTCCGGAAGCAATGTGAGTGAGGCCAACACACGGGAAAAGATCATGTGGTAATTGCAGGATCAGAAAATGAATCGGTTGGACTCTGGAAAAAATAATATACCGACCGTCGGACAGGGGCAGGGCCCACGAGCCCGACGGAGGGATGGATGTCTCACCGGAATGGGCGGTCGGGGACGTTACAAATGGTATCAAATCGAAAGGTGCTATTTCGGTTCTGATCCAGAGAGCCGGTTCTAGGGGATTGGGTGTTCTTAAACGGAAAAGATGTATTTCAAAAGATTTATTGGGCCCAACAATTTTCAAAAAAAATTAATATTGATGTGTTTCAAATCGCAAACTTAACTTAATTTTTATTTCTGTTCTTGTTGTGGGTCTGATGTTCGCCCGTTTGTTGCAGTATAGTGCCGAAACAAGTTATTCCGATATTTGATGATGTGACCTGGGCGATGCAGCGTGATGCTCGTCGTATTGCAGACCTTTGGGGTGTGGGGAATGTGCAGGAGGGGATGCCGCCCCAGCTAAGGAGAAGAACGGCACTTCCAGCTGATGCGAACCCGGGGCGAGGGCCCCCAAATGCGTTGCACCAAAATGCGGGGCTAGTGGACGTGCCAATCCATTTCACCTGGGAGCCTGGATTTGTGATCCAAAACACTAAATCAGTCGTTGAGTACTACAAGGAGTTTGAAACAGTGGCCCGGTTCTGGGGGCGTTTGTGCAACAACAGAGATCTAGTCTACATGTTTCATGAGGGGTTGCGTACTGAGATTCGAGAAGAAATGGCGAGGTGGGAGGCCCTGGAGGACTACCGTGAACTCGCTGAAATAGGGGAGCAAGCTAGGAGAGTAGAAGAGGATCTTGCTGCGAGGTCGCTTACTCCTTCGTACGTAGGAACCATTAGGTCGCCTACGCTGTTGGGTGCAGAGGAGCCGCTCCATGCTGAGAGTGATGCACCAGGGTTCTTGGGAGTGAGGGTATCCCGATCCTCATCTCCGACACCGAGTCAGTGGAGGAAGACCCCGAAGAAGACCTGGAGGAGGAACTTGAAGAAGACCCGGAGGAGGAACCTGAAGAAGATCCCGAGGAAGACCCCGATTACGAGCTGTTTGATAAAGCTGATGAGCTGCTAAGCCCCACACCGAGTCTCGAGTCTACCTGCAATACCAATGTACCCCGTTCTTCATGCGGCTAGTGGTGGCGCTGAATTCTTAGATAGTAGGAGTAGGACCCGATTTCTTCTATTCTTTCATTGTGTTTTTCCTCTTTATTTTTTTCGTCGTTAGTTTTGGCTTTTGTAAGCGGTGATCCATTTCAGTTATTTTCTCAAACGCTATGTAGTCTTACTCCTTATTATTTCTTATTCATTTATTTACATTCGGAGCAGTCAAGTTATTCAAATTCGAGTCTCCCTTCGCTTTCATGTTTAATCCGTTGGGTATAGGAGTCGCAATATGGATCCTTGTCACAGAATTCAGGGACGAATTTCCGTTAAGGGGAAGAATTGTAATACCCGTTTCCATTTTTATTTCCTTTGGTTGCACTTCAGGCCCAAGTGAGCCCACCTCCCTCTTCTAACCAAAACGTTCGTGCATTGGCGTATGTATCTCCCTCTCCATTTTTCCGAAATCCTAGCCGCACGAGTGAAAGAAAACCAGAGAAAGAGAGAAAGCGGAAGAAAGGGAAGAGAGGAAGAGAGAGAGAGCTCGTGTTAAAGGAGAAAGAGAGAGGTGAGAGAGAAGCTGCCGTCAACGTCAGCGTAAGGAGCCACCGTCATATCGAATCACCACCGGTCACCAGTCGACACCACCGCAAGTCACTTGTCACCGGAGAGGTTGATCTGCAACCGTAAAACAAACCGTGAGGTTTAAGTGCACAACTCGGAGTTTGTTGTGCGGCAAGTCACCTTCTCAAACATCAACGTTCAGCAGTCGTCGTAAGGCTAAGGTGAGGGCGGGTCTAATTCACTCCCCTATATGCTTTCCTATGCTGGGACACTGAAATCGTGGCCTGGTCTCACCTGGTGTCTATGAGTAGTTCGTTTCGGTTGATAGTGGGTAGTGGCGACGTCTTGACAAGTTCATAGACGATTTGTTTATAGTTCATAAGGGGAAATCTGTTGCGTTAAAAACTCGTTAATTAGGGAATATGCCTTCATATTTAAGTATGGTACGTGAAAGTGAAGTTGACTATAACTAATAGTAGACTTGTATAAATTATAGTTCTGTGTATCGTGTATGAGCGCTGAGTAACTTATATTTGTTAGATGATTGTAATATGTACTATAATATATATATATATATATATAAACGTGGTTATCTCGTGTATGTTGTCTGTGTTAGGTGTGTTGCGTACAATATGGTTGGCGGTTATTGCTACTAAATATATTAATATGATTAAAGTATAAGTGTGAGCGTATTATTAGTATGGGGTTAATTAAAGAAATGATATGATTGCGGAGAGTTATATAACTATTTACATATATATATCATGGGTTGGTGTTAGTAAGTTAGTAAATAAGTTAAAGGCGGGCTTGAATATGTGAAGATAATTTATTAAGTCGGGTTATAGCGTGGTGGTATTATAAGTGACTTATTTGGTTAGTCCTACAGGCTACGGCAATAAGTGATGATTGCGTTGTAGTTCATTAACAGTTAACTAATGAACCGGAAACAACCACCGGCGTTCTATGTGGCGGGAGCCCTTCAGGGTGAGATTGTTGTTGCCATTAATGACTATGACTAAACACCGCAATAAGTGATAGATTGCGTTGTATCGAAGGGCTCCCGCCACGTAAAACGCCCGCAGTTGTTTCCGATTCTACGATGCAATCATCACTTATTACCGCCGTAGCCTAAGAAGTAACAACGTAATCGGACTAACCACATTGGGCAATATAATAAATCTCTTATAATACCACCACGCTATTAACTCCACTTAATAAACTATCTCCACAGCCCGGCTTAACTTATTTACTAACACCAACCCATAATATAAATATATATATAAATAATACTAATATATATAATTAGATATATAACTCCTCGCAATCATATCATTTCTTTAATTAACCCATACTAATAATATGCACAGACTTATACTTTAATGATATTAATATATTTAGTAGCAATAACCGCCAATCATATTATATGCAACACACCTAACACAGACAACATACACGACATAACCACGTGTATATATATATATATATATATTATAGTACATATTACAATCATCTTATAAATATAAGTTATTAAGCGCCCATACACGATACACAAAACTATAATTTATACAAGTTTATTATTAGTTATAGTCAATTTCATTTTCACGAACCATACTTAAATACGAAGACATATTCCCTAATTAACGAGTTTCTAACGCAACAGATTTCCCCTTATTACAAATGATACACTTAGGTTTTACCCAAATAAAAGACGGCAAGTGCACAGACAATCACAGTAATATAGATGGGATCGAATCCACAGAGACCAAGGTTACTCTATGATTCTTAATGAATGAAGTGGAGCTAAGACAATGTGATGACTGTTGAACGTAATGCAAAACGAAAATGACAATTAAATTCAATAAAATATCAATTAAAGACAGGCATTAGGTAAAGGACAATTCGCAGGGATCAGAGATCATGAACCAGACAATTATTCAGGGAACAGATAAGCACAGTCTTGAACTCAAACATGAATGTATAGCTAATCTACTGTCGTGGTATCAGAGACTCTATCTAACAACCTAAGATTCTAAACTGTCGTTTGAACTTAGAATTATAAACAGGCATTATCGATCAGGTTCGATTTGTTCACAGATTGCCTTAAAATCAGCTTCCGTTGGTTAAGGACAGTCTGCTCATCTATGTTCTTTCAGGCTTTTAAACATATACTTTTGGTGTGCTAAACAACCTAGAATCAGAAACTGGGTAGCTAATCAAGTTTCAGCAATGAGATCAACGATAAATGAAGACAACAATTGAAATAACCCTATCTATGTCTGATTCAATAATTCATAATCTCATTGAAACCCTAAACCTAACTAGTGGATTACTCAGACATGGAAAGAGAAGAAAAACAAAAAGATGAAGAGAAATTCATAAATAATAAAATAGAAATCAACTGAGGTTCAGAAATCATCTCAGAGATGCAGAGTACAAAGATCGTCTCCCCAAAACTCACAAATTGCCAAAAGCTCTCAGTCTCAATGAAAAATAAAAGGTAGCCTCAACAATGCCTGAAAATTAAGTCTTTATAGGTCTAGCACGAGCTAGATGAAAAATTATGGAAAACCAAGTCGAAATAGGTAAAACCAAAATTTCTTTATTTTCCTGCACGACCAAACCGGCTGGTTAAAGCATCGGATCAATCAGTCCAAAGTTGGATCGATCGATCTAAATACTCTCAGGAAATCCTGGTCTCATCGGATCGATCGATCCCTCCCGGATCAATCGGTCCAAAATGTCTCGGGGAAACTTCGACCAAACAGATCGATCAGTCCAGTGTGGGATCGATCGATCTAAAATCCCTTGGGCAAATCTTTGGCTTGTGGATCGATCGATCCCTCACAGACCGATCGATCTAAAATCTCTCGGGCAAAATCTTGTCTCCTCGCTTCCTTTGGATCGATCGATCCAATATAGGACCGAGCGATTTGCACTCCAAAAATGACTGAATTTGCTCTTTTTCTTCATTTCTTTATTTGCATTGCCTTGGAATCCATCCAAACGTGTTTTGACTAGTAAAGATTCTAAAAATACTGAAAAAACCCGATAAAAACTTTTGAAAATCAGTTAGAAATCAGTAAAATCATAGTATATCAACAAACTATAAACAAACTTCTCAAGACGTCGCCACTACCCACTATCAACCGAAACTAACTACTCATGGATACCAGGTGAGACCAGGCCACGATTTCAGTGTCCCAGCATAGAAAATTGTATAGGGGATTGAATTAGATCCGCCCTCACCTTAGCCTTTCGACAATGGCTGATTCCTTTCGACAATGGCTGAACGTTGATGTTTGAGAAGGTGACTTGCCGCACAAGAAACTCCGAGTTGTGCACTTAAACCTCACGGTTGGTCTTACGGTTGCAGATCTACCTCTCTGGTGACAGCGGCTAGCTCTCTGGTGACAAGTGACTCGCAGTGGAGTTGACTGGTGGCCGGTGGTGATTCGATACGACGGCGGCTCCTTAGGCAGACGTTGACGGCAGCTTCTATCTCTCCCCTCTCTCTTTCTCCTTAAACACGAGCTCTCTCTCTCTCTTCCTCTCTTCCCTCTCTTTAGCTTTCTCTCTTTCTCTGGTTCTCTTTCACTCGCGCGGCTAGGTTTTCGGAAAAATGGAGAGGGAGATACATACGCCAATGCACGAGCGTTTTGGTTAGAAAGGGAGGTGGGCTCCCTTGGGCCTGAAGTGCAACCAAAGAAAATAAAAAAGGCCCACTAAAAATGGAAACGGGTATTACATATATGGTGGCTTAAAAGAAGTTTCTCATGTTTTGTTGATGGGGAGACAATTGCATTGTAATTTAGATTATCATTCATCAACCGTAGTAAAGTCTACAAGCAACATTTCAAAGGTCTTTTCAGTTACACATAATCTAAATTTTCAACAATCTGTCTCCAACCACTCAAGTTTGTGCATTACTTCTTCCCCTTGCAATTCTTAATTTGTTTTAACATTCTTTATAAGGAGGATAAGCTCAAAATTAATGTTGTGTTCTTTCAAAACTGGTCACATTGGGGACTAAGTGGACCAGTTATCCTCCGTCTCTCTCCATGGGGTGCACCACATCTCTTCAGTTCTGAGTACAAAGGTCTAAATCTTTCATCTGCAGAAATAATTCGTTGCTGTTAAGTCGATGAAGTTATTAAAAATATGTTCCAATTAGGTTGATATGGTTTGGTTGCAGCGATTCTTATTGTTGACTTCATACTGGATATTAACATCGAAGCTGCTAAATCAACACAAGCTGCAGTTTTCAGTAACAACATTTCATACTTTTACTCTTCTCTTTGTTTCTTGTCTTTGGTTTTTTAAAAGTTTGAGGCATTGTTCAATGCAGAAGCATAAGGTATCCAATTCCTTTCCCCCTCAGTTCGGTCTTGTCAATAAATTCTGGAATTACATTCTATACCGCGAGGTTCTTACCAAACATTCTTTCATATCGTAAAACCTCTTAATCTTATGCTAATGTCCTTGACTGTATTCATGATCAAGCAGGGTTCTTCAGGAGACACCTTGTGGGCTTCATTGTCAAAGAGCTCTATTTCCAATCTCCTTAAACATTGTACATTTCAAGTCACTGGAAAGGTATAATATCAAACATGAAACTTATCAGATTTGATCATACTACTCAAGAAAATAACGATGATGACATTGTGTTTTGTTATGTTGCTGCAAAAGGGTCAATACAAAGATGAGTTTGTGACAGCAGGAGGAGTTCCTTTATCCGAGGTTTGCATTCTTTAGAAACCTAAATCAATCCTTTTTTCGGCGTTTCTTACTAAATCTGATTTTACAATGTCTCTTACTGTTTCAGGATTTCTTTGAAGACAATGGAGAGCAAGTTGGTTCCGAATCTTTTCTTTGCAGGAGAGGTAAACATGGCTACAATGTTTAAAGCAGTATTATCACATACATATACCAATACATGTACATACATACACATGACATGACCATCGTAGCATCATATATTTGTGTCTTCAGGTACTAAATGTATATGGAGTTACAGGTGGCTTCAATTTCCAGGTGAACATACACATCTCTACTTTTTTTTTTATTATCAAATTTAAGATGCAATCAAAATGCTAAAACGGCGTATTAAGTCAGCAAGTATTGCTTTATGCAGAATGCTTGATCAGGTGGATATATCGCAGGCACACATATCGGAAAATTAGCAAGTAACAGAAATTCTACAGAAAAAAAAAAGTTATAGAATTATTATAGTTTCATTATAAGAACACAGTTTTGTTTTCTAAAAGTAATTTGTCTAGTGAACAAGTCCACCTTTTTTTGTTTCATTTACCAATATCCACCAAGAAAAAAGTAATTTGTGCAGAGAAATTTAATTTTTCTTTCAAAATCAAGAAATTATATTTTCCCGCCAAAATAGTCAAATTGCATATTTTCATCAAAACTGTAAAATTATATTTTTTCGTCAAAACTAAAAAATCGCATTTTTGTGTTTAAACTGAAAAATTGGAGTTTTCTTCAAACAACTAACAAATAGCATTTTTTGTCTAAAATCAAAAAATTACATTTTCTAGCTAAAATTGAGAAATTTCAGTTCTGACAAAACTGAAATTTTGTTTTCTGTAATAATCGAGAAAACGTGTTTTTTTGTCAATACCGTTAAACTGTATTTCTCACCAAAATAAAAAAAAATAGCATTTTTCTACTAAAACTGAAATTTTCATTTTCTTATCAAAACCAAAAAAAAATTGTTTTCCTATCATGACCAAGATCATTGTGTTTTCCCGCTACAATTGAGAAATTTTGTTGTCCCGCAAAAACATTGTAAGTGCATATTTATGCCAAAACCATGAAATTGTATTTTCCCGTCATAATCGAGAAATCATGTTTTCCTGCCAAAAATAAAATTTTTTATTTTCTTATCATAACCAAAAAAATTTGTTTTCTCATCAAAGACAAAAAAAAATTTTATTTTTCCGACAAAGTCGAAAAATCATGTTTTTCCACCAAAATCAAAAAGAAATTATTTTTCCACTAAAACCGGAGAATACAAAATATGGATTTGCCTTCAAAACAATTACTAAATTTAAAACATTAACTTAGGAAAAATAATATTGGGGGTTATAAACCACTTAATGATAGCCTAATAACTTATGAAACACCATATTTAATTTGGCCCGGTTAATTATGGGCCTAAGAGTAAAGTCCAGCCGACAAAGAATGAGCGAAGCGTAACTTCCACGGCCGTCTCTATATAAGCTACATATTTCTCCTAAAAGCCAATATCTGATTTCATTCTAGCCATTGAAATTTCCTTTTCTCTCTATGTCTCTCTTGCTTTCTCTCTCTCTGCGTCTCATTTCGACATTCCTTAAAACCCTAATCGAAAATCGCTTGCTTCTGCTTTCGACTATTCACGATTTGATAAATTTTCGGTTCTGTGATTCCTCTCAGTCTTTTGTCTTCTCGGGAATCTAAGGTTTCGACAAAGACAACGATGGCACAGTTTCCCGAAGGGATTGCATTCTACATCAGAATATACAAGATTGTGGATGATCGTTCGTTGGATCCAGTCATCTCTTGGAGCGAAAGCAACAACACTTTCATCGTTTGTGATCTCAAAAGGCTCTGCAAAGAGATTCTCCCGAAATACCTTGGATTGGGCAGAAACTACCCTCACTTTGTCTCAGAGCTTCAATATCGCGGATTTGAAAGAGTCAACGGGTCTGGGCAATTGGAGTTTGGACATGAAAATTTCGTGAGAGGTCATCCTCATTGATTGAAGAAGATGGTTTTGCAAGTTTGGATGCAGAAGATGGACAAAATTGGAGCTAACCTTCAATCAAAAATTGCCCAAACCAAAGCCATGATTGCTCGAGCCGAGGCAAGGAACAATAGAGTCCAGATAGAGAAAATCCTGCAAGGTTTACGAATCTTCGCGGATTTGAAAGAATCAACGGGTCTGGGCAATTGGAGTTTAAACATGAAAATTTCATGAGAGGTCATCCTCATCGATTGAAGAAGATGGTTTTGCAAGTTAGGATGCAGAGGATGGACAAAATTGGAGCTAACCTTCCATCAAAATTGCCCAAACCAATGCCATGATTGCTCGAGCCGAGGCAAGAAACAATAGAGTCCAGGTAGAGAAAATCCTGCAAGGTTTACGAATCTTCGCGGATTTGTAAGAGTCAACAGGTCTGGGAAATTGGAGTTCAGACATGAAAATTTTGTAATAGGTCATCCTCATCGATTGAAGAAGATGGTTTTGCAAGTTTGGATGCAGAGGATGGACAAAATTGGAGCTAACCTTCAATCAAAAATTCTCAAACCAAAGCCATGATTGCTCGAGTCGAGGCAAGGAACGATAGAGTCCAGGTAGAAAAAATCCTGCAAGGTTTACGAATCTTCGCAGATTTGAAAGAGCCGACGGGTCTGGGCAATTGGAGTTTGGACATGAAAATTTTGTAATAGGTCATCCTCATCGATTGAAGAAGATGGTTTTGCAAGTTTGGATGCAGAGGATGGACAAAATTGGAGCTAACCTTCAATCAAAAATTCTCAAACCAAAGCCATGATTGCTCGAGTCGAGGCAAGGAACGATAGAGTCCAGGTAGAAAAAATCCTGCAAGGTTTACGAATCTTCGCAGATTTGAAAGAGCCGACGGGTCTGGGCAATTGGAGTTTGGACATGAAAATTTCGTGAGTGGTCATCCTCATCTATTGAAGAAGATGGTTTTGCATGTTTGGATGCAGAGGATGGACAAAATTGGAGCTAACCTTCAATCAAAAATTGCCCAAACCAAAGCCATGATTGCTCGAGCTGAGGCAAGGAACAATAGAGTCCAGATAGAGAAAATCCTGCAAGGTTTACGAATCTTCGCGGATTTGAAAGAATCAACGGGTCTGGGCAATTGGAGTTTAAACATGAAAATTTCGTGAGAGGTCATCCTCATCGATTGAAGAAGATAGTTTTGCAAGTTAGGATGCAGAGGATGGACAAAATTGGAGCTAACCTTCCATCAAAATTGCCCAAACCAAAGCCATGATTGCTCGAGCCGAGGCAAGGAACAATAGAGTCCATGTAGAGAAAATCCTGCAAGGTTTACGAATCTTCGCGGATTTGAAAGAGGCAACGGGTCTGGACAATTGGAGTTTGGACATGAAAATTTTGTGAGAGGTCATCTTCATCGATTGAAGAAGATGGTTTTGCAAGTTTGGATGCAGAAGATGGACAAAATTGGAGTTAACCTTCAATCAAAAATTGCCCAAATCAAGGCCATGATTGCTCGAGGAGGCAAGGAACAATAAAATCCAGATAGAGAAAATTTTGCAAGATTTACGAATCTGATCCAAAATTGAGATTTTTTTTTACAAATTTGATCCAAAATTAGGGATCTTTTCACAAACAAATATATGTTTCTATTGTAGTTCTTGTTTTAGGTTTGATCTATTAACACTCGGTCTATAGTATATGTTTTGTTTCCACTATCTAGACATAGTTCTTACTTTTGACCTGTAAATAATAAAGTCTCATATTTTACTTCTTACTTTTGACCTGTAAATAATAAAGTCTCACATTTTACTTGTTCCAATCTCTTATCACATGTTTTTTTAAAAAAGATTACACTGTACAATTGCCTCATGAATGTCGAATTCTGAAAAAAACTAACTGTACCCATAGCATAAAGGGTTCTGAGACCATTTGTTTGGAGTTTGTTCATATGTATCCATGAGTTTTTGGCTTTTGAGGCAACGATTCAAGCTGAGGATGAAAGAATAAAGTATAGATCTACTGATCTGCATATTGTCTTCTTAGTCTCACATCACATTTCACATGATGCTTGGTTTATGCAGATGGTTGGATCTGTTGGCTTGGAAGTTGCTGCACAGCTCTATATTCAGGAGCGCCCCTATGTATCCATTGACGAGGTGTTGTGACTTTGTGATTACAGACTTTTGTATGATTGTTTGTTCATATGTTTATACTATCCAACTGTTTCTTGCAAGATATAAGCCAAAGGCTGAATCTTTTCGTTTTGTTATTTGTGTGTAAGCTTCAAATCAGTACAAGTTTTGATTGACATCACTAAGCATCAACATACCACATGGATGATGGAGTGATCATCAACAGGTTTACTATCTCTGAAAAAGACCCAGTTCAGGTATCAATGTAATCTTGCATTGTGGTTTTCTACTTATTTGATTGTTTCAGTTTCTCTCAGTATTAACAGAACAGATCAACAGAAAGAGAAGAAAACTTGCTTATTACTATTTTGCAACTGAACAAAGTAGAACTGAAATGCAGAATTAGAACGACAGTAAATTAATAAGAAGCTACGGAAGTTTTGTTTTCAAGAGAGCAATGGAAGTTATAGGCGAACGATTCTGTAAACACCTGAGCTTGAAAGTAAGTAAATATTTTCCTTGTTGTCTTCTCCAAAGGAGAACACAAACCCAAGTGGCGGAGATAAAGAAGAAGAAGGCTCTGTAAGGGGGGTTCGATATTCTTCTTCTTTCTTCTTTCAGGAGGAAACATGGGATATTGAGGAGGAGAGTCAAACCAATATTTTATCTAGCAGGCTTCTTGAATTAGGGTTCTTAGCATCTTAGGCTTGCATTGTTTAAGTAATCATTCAGTTCTGTTTTGTTAAAGATTTTACTAACTGACTTGTTTGCAGTTGCTTTTCACTGTAAAGAACAGCTACGACCAGTGTAAAGCTCTGTCTAAGAACCAGACATTTATTCAGTTTATTCAAGGTAGGTACATTTGTCGTATGCTCAAAGATGGATGTAGATTTCTGAGTTTATTCTTATGAAAGGGTTTCCTCTCTACAGGTCTTTCAACGAGTTCTAAAATCCTATGATACAAAGCTATTCCTTAAGCTCTCAAAAGGAGGCTCCCGTAAACAGATAAAGGTAGCTTCCTGCTTTCTGTTTTTTTTGTGTTCTTTTCGATGTATTATACTTGCATCTTTTTCTCATTACCTCTATGCAGGGCTCAGAGATAGAAGAAAGGATGATATGATACATAGTTACTTCTGCGAGTACTGCCACAAGCCAGTAAACTTGCTTCTGTATCAAGAAATGTAATGCAAACCGTGGTGTTGATAAACCGAACAACAAGTTGTGTTTTTTTTTTTTTTTTTTGCAGTCTAGTGAACTTGCAAAAGACGTCTCAACAATTATTGACCCGCATTATGCTGACAGCGTAGACATGTCAGAGGTCCAAGTACTATATATGAACACTTGTCCTAGATATGTAATGTATATTTGGACATTGAGTCACAGCAAAAGTTGTAGAGTATTGGGAAGCGGTTCTTAAACGCCTAGATATATACAAGGCAAAGGTATTTGCTTGTGGATGATCTTGGGCTGTTAGATTTTCAAAAACAGAGGATTTGTTTTTCACATACTCACTGACTATCTTGATGTTTAACAGGCTTGCTAGAAGTAAATACACGCTGAGATTCGGAGGAGACATTTACATGAATCCTTCAGATGCATTCTCTCCAAAGCCTATTGCTCATAGGAAGTAAGACAGTCTTTGTATCCCTTTGTCATTACCAGGCACCTATTCAAAACTAGTAACTTCACTTTGCTTTTGCAGTGAAGTTTTTCTTTAAAATTGCCTTGAACAAACAAGTGTTACGAGCTTTGACTGTGTTACTTACTCAGATTAGTTTCGGTTTCTTTCCCTTACTCTGATTAGTTTCTCCCAAGTTCAAGCCAAACTGAAACTAGAAAATCCACGCCCGGATTCGTCAAACCTTGAGCATCTCAGTAACAACATACCGGATATTAACATCGAAGCTGCTAAATCTCTAGTCAAACAACACAAGCTGCGGTTTTCAGTAACAACATTTCATACTTTTACTCTTCTGATACTTTCCTTTTCAAGCTTTGGTTAGCATTGTTTAATGCAGAAGCATAAGGTATTAAACTCCTTTCCTCCTCAGTTCGGTCTTGTCAATAGATTCTGGAGTGTTACATTCTATCCCGCGAGGTTCTTACCAAACCTTCTTTCATAGCTTCCTTGTAAGACTATAGCTTCCTTGTATTGTGATATTTCATTTACTTTCTATTATCTATTTAGGAACACAATTTTGTTTTCTCAGAGTAATTCGGCTACTGAAAAAATCCACCTTTTTTTTTGTTTCATTTACCAATACCATTGTTGTGTTCATGGTTCTTTATTGTTTAATAAGCCTCTCTTGCCTTGGAAATTATATATGCATATGATCATTTTTAGTATAATATGCAGACTTTGTAACTCCATTCTCTTGTAGCTTCTGAAGAGAGAGAGAGAAGAGATTCTTCGTTTAGTAAGGCAAGACATTCTCTTTCTCCAACGCATCTATATAAGGAAAAAAAGACCTAGCTGAATAAACAGAAGCCAAGCCATCGTTAGTATGGGTGGTGCATCATCACCATCACCCTTTTTGAAGAAATCAAGAGCAAAATTCATCCAACTTATCAGACACTTTTTCTGAACAAAATTCAGAGCTCGTCCCATCATGTAGATTTTCATTGTCGTCTTTAGACACTTGTTCTGAAACAGATTCAGAGCTCCCAACAGACAGAATTTCATTGTCGTCTTCAGACACTTGTTCTGATATAGATTCATAGCTTCGAACGTGACTTCGTTGTCCTTTTCAAGCCATCCGTGTTGGTCAAGAAAATCAAAGAAATACTACATAAACAGATGTGCCTTTTCGATTCTTCCACAGAACTCCATATTCATGTATGGATCCGTTTATGCGTGCTCGACAAAACATATTGGGATCGTATGCCTTCCATCACGGCGCAAAACCTAAATCTGTAGAAATCAGAAGGGATGGTCAAGGAGTTTCGTTTAGCTCGGTGGTCGAAGTCCTCAGGTACTTGTCTTCCGGGTAGGCACGCCTTCAATGATTGATGTGTAATTACACTCCTTGCTTTTCTGCTCAATCTGAAGCAGTTGGCGAAACTGAGATGCTCAAAAGGGAAAGATACTAAAGTCTTGAGTGATTCACAAGTGTCTACTATTAGTTTTGTGAGCGAGGAAGGGAGCTCTGGTAGTGATGTAAGTTTTGGACAGCCAGCTATTAATAGCCTTTTTCAACCGATCAAGATCTTTGATCCATTCGCTTAATGTCTCCTTCGCTTCGTTTTGGAGGAACCTCCGTAGAGAGACTGCCATATATAGAAACTGCCATATTTAGATTATCATTCATCAACCGTAATAAAGTCTACAAATTTGGGCTTCGCTAACTTATCAGTTATCACCAAGACTAACTCTGCATAATCTTCTGACTGAATCGCCATTAGAAGATGATACAAATTTTGTAAGTACTTTTTCTCTTTGAGCTTGAGAGAAGCATTCAGCCTAGCTTAAACAATACAAAGTCGAATTTGGATCTTTATTTAGATGAACCGAGGCTAGATTTGATGTCTTTTGCAGATACAGAAGTTTTAGATTATTGGAAAAATAGTGGGCAACGTGATGGTGATTTAGCTTCTCTAGCATCTATTTTGCTTAGCATCCCAATCACTACAAAGACATCAGAGTCAGCATTTAGTGTTGGAGGAAGAGTGTTAAACCCTTACAGAAGCCGTCTACTTCCAAAGAATGTCCAAGCATTGCTTTGCACTCGCAATTGGCTGCGTGGTTTTGCAGAAGTCGAAGGTAAAATATTTGTTTGTTTGCCTTGTGTCTAAATTTTTTTGTTTATCTAATTCATAACTTCATACTTAGGTGATATTGAAAATTGTTTTGAAGATGAGAATCCTTCAGAGATGGCAGCAAGTAGCTGAGGAATTTAAAGGTAAAATGCTTAATCACACTTTGTCTATAGATATTGTTTTGAAGATGAGAATGCTACGCCATCAGATGTCCCTGTTTGGTTACTTAATATAATGTCTCTGTTTGGAATATAAAGAGAGAGACTTATATGACTTTAATGAAGTCTGTTTGGTTTGTGTAATATCTTCATGTTACTGTTGCTTCATGTTTTTGAGGCGATCTCAACATCTTGAAGAAGTGTATTCAAATGCTTTCATGAGATTACTTCAGAGATCTCGATGTTTAAGATTCAGATGTATTATTATAATCTTGTGTTTTGTGTTAATTTTATGAGATATTTGATCATATAAAAGTTTTTTTTTCTTTTTTGGTATAAATGTTAAGTTTTATACCATTTTCAAATTTGTGATAGAATTACAAAGGAAACATAGAAAACAGAAAGACCAAAAACTAAAAAACAAAGTCTAATTACTAACGGAAACGAAAGAATACAATAAACAATAAGCTAGTTTTGTGTAAATGAAATGATTACAAAAAGAATTATATCTAGTTTTCAGGGTTTGTATTGGATTACCTTATTGATACTTGAATTTTTTCAGGGTTTTTTTAATCAGTGTTTTTATCTAAACTTCTTCAATATTAGGGTCAGGGTCAGAATAGGTTAGCCCACCACAACATCCCTATCTACAAGGAACATTTCAAAGGTCTTTTCAATTACACATAACCTAAATTTTTGCCGACGCAGTTGTCTGAAACTGAATCTCCACATCTTCAAGCTGCTGAAAAATCTTTGCTTCACAAGACTTACCCTGAGATATCTCTTTCTCCGCCTCCTCTCTAGGTTCTTGCGTTCGTTCTCAACCTTAAAGCTGGATCACTTTCTCTGCAGTCACTTTCTCTGCGCCTTTGAGTTCCTCCATCATCTGAAACGCAAGTCAGGCTATTTAGTGAGCTTATGGGATCTTTAGGTTGCAGATCTTTGACTTCCTCAAGTAAACCGGAGAAGGCATGTATCATACCTACCGCACACATTTCACGGGAACCTTCTCTACTCTCCAACAACGGGATAAAGTGAGGACTTTGTGGTAATATTTTAATGCAAAGATAATCTACAAAGACTCTCAATGCAAAACCATCATTAAGGAGCAAGATTCAAATTTGAGAAATCAAAAACGGGAGAGAAAGTCAACACATTTATATAGTAAGTAACAACAAAGAACTAACAAACCACATGGAATTGCAGAAGAAGTTACAAAGATGACTCTATGCGTATCAGTTACATAGAAACGGCGAATATAATATCATATAATTGTATTACATTTACAGACATTTTTATGACAAGAAACATGTTATGAACCCAGTTTCAGAAGTAAGGTTAGAACATCATCTTCAACGAGGGACAATTAATCCGAAGCCGACAAGGTGTTGCAGGAGTAAAGTAATTGTAGGTTTCATCAAAGCTTGCCACAGAGAGTATATTCTGTATAACCGAAACTTTGTTGCTGAGAGATGCCAACAACAGCGATCCACAACACTACCTTTGACAAAGCTCCGTAGAACCAACATATACTTTACTCCCAGAGATGAAACTCAGTTGGGATTTACATGAACAAAATTCTGGGAAGCCTAAGAAATGAGATTATGCACACAAATACGCACAAACTCGAATCTGTCAAAAGGTTAAAACTTTCGAAACGGGCTCTTACTAAAATCTAGAGCCGAGAGGAGAAAAGGGTTATGAGGCTGGTTTTAGTGACAGTCATTGCATTGGTATATAAGGCTGGCTTGGAGCACAAGACGTGAGGAAAAGAGAAAGACAATAATAGATTATGGGCCTTGTGTCTAAAGTCGTCTTGTGCCACTAACTTGTGTCTCTATCAATCTACTTCCCTGCGTGGCCATGTTCCGACTGCATAGGATCATGTATGGTCGACTAATAAACATAAAGAGACAATTGTTGATAAAGAGAAAGAGAGACCCATAATAATAGTACATCTAAGTAAAAATTCCATTGACAATTGATGTATATGCCCATAATCAAAGTCTTAGTTTTGATATATTGTGTTGTGGCATTTTTTTTTAACACAAAAGATTTTGCGAGTGACTAAACAAAACACACTTCACTTCACTTCTGAATAATTTTGTTTGTATTTGTCTTAGTTTGGTGATCTTTCCCGGAAAGCTTAGAAATTTGAAACTCCACGATTCTGAGAACCATTTACAAAATCTGAGTGTCTATGCCTCTCTGAAAACGCCAATGCTTGTTGATGTTATATATAATAGATCTTTGATGTTCAAACAACAAATTATTGAGATGCTCAACAGCTTTTATTGATCTAAAACGACCAAAGTTCTTAGTTTTGTTCTCATAATAAAAGCGTAGTTTGTACATATTGTTCTTACTTTTATAAGATCACTCTAACAAAATAAATGAGTACTTAAGTATGTTAGTTGCTTTGAGGTCAGGTATGTTAGTTTCTTCGAGGTCAAGGTTTTGAACCGCGAATCTTAATGAATTTATAGAAGGCTCGAACAATCTTCCTTGGATACTTTTGTACCGTATATAGACTATTTCTCTTTCGGCGTGATGATATCAGACTGTTCAAGAAGATAAGTCCAAAGAAAAATCTTCTTCGTTATATGAGAATTGATACATTTTTTTTTTTTTGACACTCTCGTGAACATAACTATTGGAAGACAAAGATTGCAACTAATTGATCATTTAGCTAATGACACATGCAGAAATATAACTAACTGACCAAACATGAAACATTGATAAACGATATAAAACAAGATCTTGAGTAAGATATGTTGTTTCGTTTGACATGGAGCACAGAACAAGATCCCGGCTTTGTCCATTAAAACAAAAGAACATTTCATACTCTAAGAGTGAAATTAGACCGCAGTACTGGATTAGTGAGACAGTACACGTGGAGTCAGCGCAGGAGAAAGTAGGACTAGCCATGACATTGAACCTTGAATCATTGAGCAATCCCTTAGAAATGCTGATTGACAAAATAGGAAACAGTCGAGGTTCTTGTTGAGCAGAAAACTCGTTGACAACAAGTGTACCCTTATTCCGCCTCCGAGACAAAAAAAACAGAGAAGCCTATAAGTAGACTTATGTGCAACGAGAACAACCTCGCGTTTCTTGAACTCCACTTCATCAACTGATCGATAACCTCTTCACCGTAGTATCAACTCTATTAAGAACACACACAACGCTCATCGACATCATCATCATCATCATCTTTTTTATCTGACACATTAACGTCTCCAGAGAAACCTAACGTCGAGGAGAACGAGAGAGGGAGAGGGAGGGAGAGAGGGAGAGAGAGAGAGAGAGAGAGAGAGAGAGAGAGAGAGAGAGAGAGAGAGAGAGAGAGAGAGAGAGAGAGAGAGAGAGAGAGAGAGAGAGAGAGAGAGAGAGAGAGAGAGAGAGAGAGAGAGAGAGAGAGAGAGAGAGAGAGAGAGAGAGAGAGAAAGAGAGGAGAGAGAGAGAGAGAGAGAGAGAGAGAGAGAGAGAGAGAGAGAGAGAAAGAGAAAGAGAAAGAGAAAGAGAAGAGAAGAGAAGAGAAGAGAAGAGAAGAGAAGAGAAGAGAAGAGAAGAGGAAGAGGAAGAGGAAGAGGAGAGAAGAGAGAAGAGTGAAGGAAAAACAGAGAGAGAGAAGGGAGATCAGATCTAAGGATGAAGAGGAAGAAAAGGGTTATGAGGGTGGTTTTAGTGATAAGTGATTGTATTGGTATACGAAGCTTATGATAGATCATGGGCCTTGTGTCTAAAGCCGTCTTGTGACACTAGCTTGTGTCTCCATCTACCTAGTTCCATACATGGCCATGTTCCGCCTCCATTGGATCATGATGAATGGTTGACAAACATAAAGAGACAATTGGTGATATTTGCCCACAATTGATGATAGATATAAAGACAAAAAGGATAAGACCCATAATAATAGTATATGTAAATGAGGTTCCATTGACAATTGATATATATGACCATAATCAAAGTCTTAGTTTTGTTGTCATAAAATAAGCTTTACCTGACTTAACTATACGGTTAATCAGATGTTAAAACGAAACTCAGTTGGATTTCAAACTCAAAACCCTAAACATAGGGTTAAAAGTTGGAAACCCTAAGATAGCTTTTTTACTCTGGTTTCTCGGCAGCTTCAAGGTTGTTGTCAGCATTTGAGTCATTGGTCGTCTTCAAGGATTCGTCTGTGGCTTTCTTCTCAGCTTCACGAGGACTCGCCAAACTCATCTCTACGTCCTCATTCTCTGTGACTTGTGCAGGTTTCTCTGTGTCGATAGTCATAGTTGATACCTCATCCCTTGAGGCGTACCAGGAATGACCACAGGCAATACACTCCAGCTATATGCAAAAACAGAAGCAGAATGTGATTACTATGATGATCCATGGATATGCAAAGACATTCAGCTTATATATACCTAGTTCATTTTGGTTTGAGTAAAGTGTTTTTATCCAAGAATAGATGAAGTAATTTGGAAAAGCACACGAACCTGATAGCGATCTCCATGTCCAGCTTGGATGATATCCCTCAGGCCAACTTTAATCTGACTGCACCTCGAGCATCTTGCATCAGTCATCTTCATCAAAAACCAACACATGACATGGTCAAAGACATTCCCTAATTGAAATCCATAAAACTTTGGTTGTAAAATATGAAAAAACCTGCATTCGTTCAGCATCATCAGGCTCCTTCTTCTCTGTTTCTTCAGCAGTTAGACCTTCCTGAAATCCATAGAAAAAAAACTCACTTTTTAGTCGTTTTAAAATGTAAGAACTCGCTGATACTTGCTTACTACGGCACAGAACAAGATCAGAAGAATCTGGGATGGAATCTATGACAGTAAAATTGACGAAGGGGAGGAGTATGAGTATCTGTCTGCACATATGTAACAGAAGAGATCCTTAACCTTTAATTCAGTGGGTGACATGTTCAAAATCTTCACAGGCTCTAACTCGCCATTGAGCAGACGTCTAGCTAGCAGTGCAGTGTTCTGTAGACAAAACAAATAGACATTATTGTTGAATACTTAGAAGAAATGGTAATAGTGTATGCTTTCTAGCAAATTGAGAACCTCACAAAATGTCTCTAATATAGAAACGCATAATACTGTTAAAATGTGAAGCCAGTCATCAACATTCATATACATTCGAATTTTGCCATCTTATATTAGAATGCCACATTTAATTCATAGATTCAACAGTCATGAATATGGAGCATACGTGCACAAACAATCACATATAGTCGGATAATTAAGAACACAAAATAAGGAACATAAGTAATGAAAAAGGCATGAAACCAGATTCTAACCTTGAGATTGAAAACCAGCGTCCTCATCTTTTGATTGTACTTATGGTAATCCGATGCAAGAGCATCATGTAAAGCCTGCTCAAGAGCACACACCGGAGGAACAGCAGCATCTGGCCAGAGAAAATTCTCACCCTGTCAAGCAGTTTAAACAAAAGGTTTATATCAGAAACTACTGAATTCTTGAAACATTTCACATAACCAAGGTGACTGTATGAAAAAAGGGAGAATATTAGGAGTGTCAAACAAAAGGTTTCTACCTTTGATGGATTTTCGTGAGATCCATTTTCAGCCATTGTATCTTTCTCATCCTGTTCAACACGGGATACATCTGAACCCACCTTTGCTTCATCTGCATCCACCATTGCTACATCTGAACCCACATTTGCTTCATCTGAGACCACCTTTGCTTCATCGCCAGCCTGTTTGTTATCAGCGGTATAGCATATCTGCTGGACTGCTTCCAGAAGCTTCCCCAAACACTTATCACGATGAGTATCACCTGTTAGCGAATCAAACTTCTCTAAGATAGAATGATACTCCGATAGAATACCCATAACACTTCCAGGTGTCTCAGGTTTTAGAGAGGCGTCGTCCTCCTTTCTAACATCAACAGGAGCTATGTTTGGTTTCCGGAAAGATCTTTTACCCTTCCACGGATTCTCTAGATCAGCAGGCACTTCCTCAGGTTCAAGGTCAGGAAGATCACCAATTTGGGACATCGTCTTTTCAACAAGAAGGTCGATTTCATGTTGTTTGGAGTCTTCATAGTCTTTGTCAGTCAGCTTCCACAGCTTCTTCTCAACAGTATCATAGACCTTCCTCACGATAAAACCAGGGTGGTTTTGGCGTTTCGGAAGCTGTTTATGGGCTGGCACAAAATACACCACGCATCTGTGCATCACAGATTCCGCTGGAACTTCATCACGATGGAAACTGTAGAACAGTTCCCGAGTGTCACTTGAATCCCAGTTTCCACCACCCTTTTTCTCTGCTTCTTCTGGACGATAAAACCACTGTCCCAGAATCATCATGCTTCCATCTTTGGTTTGGGTAATGTCCTGGCAAAAAAAAGAAGCAAGTCTTATTTCGAAGCAGATGATACAACAACTTGGTAAGCATATACAAAAATCCAGCACAACAGTACCTTAATAATCGCAACATATGGCTTTTGCTTATTGTCTTCTGGAACCAACAGCACCGGATCCTCCTGCATTAAAGGAATATCAGAGAGACAAGAAAAAAATGGTCTCCAACGTCTCAAGCATTGAGTCAATTAGACACTAAACATCCAGATGCAAGAGAAAGTATGATGTAAAAGAAAATCTTTCAATCTCTAGGAAATGTGCAGTCAGAAAATTTAGAAATCTAATCTCCAAAACAGAGAGAGAAGCATTACTCAGACACTTAGACGACAAACCAGCAAATGACAACAACCATTAGAGTAGAAGACCAGTTTATACAAATGTTTCTGTTCAAATACCATAAAGATAAAGTTTTGCAGCAGTACATACCAAACAAACAGAGCATATATCGCAAGTTTCTTCAAAAATCCTAGATCTCAATGTCCACAACAATGTAATAACAGCAAGCAATGGAACAAGGTGCACTTGAAGACTCAATAAGTGAAAAAAAACAAAAAATCCCAATCAACCCTGTGTACACGATGAACCACATTACCAAATCCCTAAATTTCATAACCCTCAATTTCAAATCTACAAATTTGATCTTAACATGGAAGAAAAAATAAAACCCTCAAGCTCAAATGACAACAACCATTATAGTATAAGACTAGTTTATACTAATGTTTCTGTTCATACACCATTAACCAAATAAACAGATCATCTATCGCAAGTGCCTTCAAAAATCCTAGATCTCAATGTCCAAAGCAATGTAATAAGAACAAGATGCACTTGCAGACTCAATTAGCAAAAGATTCTCAACCAACCATGTGTACGTGATGATGAACCACAATACCAAAGCCCTAAATTTCACAACCCTCAATTCCAAATCTACAGATTTGATCATAACATAGGGGAAAAACAAAAACCCACAAGCTCAAATTGATCACAGCACTCGAACCCAAAAACAGTAAAAGATAAATCCATCAATCAAGGCTAGCAGAACCCTATGAGCAACAATCCCAAGAGATAAGAAAACTCACAAGTTCGTATATGTTGTTATCATACTCGAATTGGGTGAAATGGGTTCTTCTCCCTTTGCCTTTACCCGTAACCTTAACCGCTTCACCAATCGGCATCGCGTCATCAGGCTTCTCCTCTTCTCTCTCCGGAGGCATTTCCTCCTCCTCATCCTCCTCTTTTCTCCCCCTTCTCTTCCTCTTCCTCTCCGCTTCCTTCTCTTCCGCATCGTCTTCATCATCATCTTCGTACAGCTTCACCGGCTTGCGCTTCCTCCGCTTCCCTTCCATTGAAACCTCAGGGCTCCTTGAGTTCCCTCCTTTAAACCTCGTCAATGGTACGTCGTCTTCATCGTCACTCGACACTTGAGCGAATCGCCGAGACACCACCATCTTTTTCTGTTCAAAGGATCAGAGAAAAATAGTTAATTTATAAGAAAAAATTATCCCTTTTTTCCTGGCTTTCTTATGTTTCTAATGTAAAATATGAGAGAAATAGATCTGATATGTTTATTCAACCCACCTTCCCTTTTACCATCTCATGAAATTTTTACCTCACCCCCTCTCCCTAAATTCACAATTTATATAGGAAATGAAAATTAGTTTCTTGCTTTTCTGAGTTTTGTATGTGCATAAGTTTACTATTTAATATTTTATAATTTTTGGCGCGGATATAAATTTAGGTATATATCATAACGATTTGTACGCGGGAAAGTAATTTATTGGTTAATTGTATATATGTGTTTTTTATGAATTTATTTTATTGCTTATTTTATTTTATAACTTTCATTTACACATAACAACTTTTATTATTAAGTTACTTTAATAGTTTTTGTACATATATATATATATATATATTATTTATTTTATTTTGAAATTTATAAATAAATTTAGTTTATTACCTAAATATTAAATTTTTCTTCTTTTAATTTATTATATAGTTTAGTTAACTTATTTAAAACATATCTAGGTATAGTTATGTATTTGGTGGTTTAGTGAAAATTAATTTATTTTTAATTAATTTCCTTTAAATTAAGTTGTCAATTTAATGAATTTGATTACTAAAGTTGCAATTTATGCAAAAATATCTCATAATAGATGTATAAATTTAATATGCTATCTCTTTTTTAATATTATTTAGAGATAAAATCTATAATTAGCATTGATGTAGAAATCAAATTTGTTTCCAAAAAATAGTCAACTAAAAATGTTGCTCAACCAAAAAAATTAGTCAACTTTATTGTTTTGGATAACTCATTAATAAAAAAAAATGATTTTTTGATTAGTAATAATAAAATGACTTTATTATTGGTCAAAGTAAATAACATAAAACGTTAATTAGCGAACTACTATGTTTGTGCGGAAATATAATAATTAGGGAAGACCTGAATTTTGTATAAAATAAAACCAAAACATTGACTTTTTTTAAAGTAGAAACTTAATTAAATATATTACATGGTTAAAATTAAATGGTTTTAAATCATTGTTGGTCAACCAAAAAAAATTTATATAAAAATGTTGCTCAACCAAAAAAATTGGTCAACTTTATTGTTTTGGATAACTCATTAATAAAAATGATTTTATGATTAGTAATAAAAAAATGATTTTATTATTAGTCAAAGTAAATAACATAAAACTTAATTAGTGAACTACTATGTTTTGGATGGTAATATGGTTTTAACTGTTAACGTTGTTCTTGTTGATGTTTATATATATATATATATATATATATATATTAACTCCAGATGAATAAATATTCTTTTGACAAATATATATATATATATATATATATAGTTTAAGTTTTTCATGAACTATATCAATTTCTTTTATTAGATTAAAATTAAAATATAGCTGTAGTCAATTATTTTAGGGGCAAAAGAGCTATAAACGATTGATTTTCTTAAATAAATAATATTCGATTTGATAATAAAAAACAGTTTATTTTTTAAAGTTCAAGAAAACTAAATTTGAAATATTATATACAGTAAAAACTCTATAAAATTAATAATGTTGGGATTTTGATATTTTATTAATTTATAGAATTATTAATTTATCAGTTTTGGATAAAATAAAATTTAATCTATTAATTAATTAAAAATAATATTTTTAAAAAAAATTTAATATTTTCCAATTTTTATCATAAAATTACAAATAAGTAATTAAAAAGTTTTAATTTTAATATGAAAATAATAATATAATTATATTTTAATAGATTATCATAATTATATATTTATATAAAATTATTTTATATAATATTTATTAATTTGTAATATTAATGAGACTATATTTTACATAAGTTTTCAAAAAAACTATTATCTTATTAATTTATCAATTTGTATTAAATTTTGAACCAACCTAACTCGAAACTAAGCAAAATTATTGATTTATCGAGTTTATTAATTTATAGAATTTCTACTGTATATATTTATTTTGCCATTTCACATAATAAGTTTCATATATTTTTGTTAGTTACATACATAAATAGATTAAAAACATAAATATACATATTATTTTCTTGGAGACATAAATATATTAGAGTATACAACACATAACTATTTCCATATAGTTATGAAAATCCTTCATATTATTTACAAAATTAGTATTATTAAAAAAATCATTAGAGACATTTGCATCCATTAATGCTTCAAAAATCTAATATATAACATGTAAGAACGATAGAAGTATTATTGATGAAATTATAATAGCATAATAGTTGAAAAATGTATGTTTAAAATCATCAAAATGGTTGTGTCTTTCTAACAAAATGTAAAAGATATACTGTTAATGTTATGTCATTATCCATATATAATATACAGTAATTTTTTATAAATTAATAAACTTGATAAATTAATAATTTTGTATGTTCCCAAAATTTATAATTAATAGTTTTGAATTCTATAAATTAATAATTTGATAAATTAATAATTTTATCTGATCTCAATATTATTAATTTATAGATTTTTTTACTGTATGTTAAGTCTTTCTATGAAAAAATAGTAATTGATGAATAAAATAAAATAAAAAATTATACTTTGTACTAAGACCATCTCCATCGGTCATACTATATTTTACAGTTTTTTAACATTATTTTATTAATATAAATTATTTATTTAATTCATATATAAAATATATAGAGGAGAAACCAATAATAAATGAACATGTGTGACAACAGAAAGAAGATACCTTTAAAAACTTTTGTTAGATAAGGAATTTAGAAACGTTTGTTAGTTTCTCTCTCCCCCCCCTCTCCCCATTTTCTCTTTTTTCTATTTTTTTATTCTTAACATACCTTCTTAAAAACCCCCGATGAAGGTGCTCTAAGCAAAAGAAAAAATATGTTGAAATTTTAACTCTACTAAATTTTATATGGTAAGGCCATAAACCAAAATAATGGGCCTGGGCCGATATTCTGCCTATACAGCTGATACGTGTTTTGTTAAAAAGACACGTGACGGTAGGGGTGGGCAAAATATTCGTTATATCCGTTTCGAATCAGTATTTGCTTCGATATGATTCGAAAAATCCGGATATCCGTAAAGCTTCAGAGCAAAGCAAATAGCAAAATATAGTATCCGTACAAAACGGAGCAAATCACAAATATGTTTTTAGACAACGTCGGATATCCGATCCGATCCGTATCTTTATAAATTTATTATATATTAGTATATATTATCATATATATATCAATTATATTATAATTTTTTATTAATATACTCTCGATTTTCTTCCTAAATTTTCAACTTTTTCTAAATTCTTTTGATTATATAAAATAAATGACTAAATAACCAATTATAAAAATAAATAATATGTTTAAACTTAAAATATGTTAATAAATAATATTTTATTTGATATTAGTTAATAAATATCAATAAATGTTTTTTTAGTAAAGTTTAATATTAAAGTTTCAAATACTTAATATTATTTTTAAATATAAAATATTATTTTTTCCTCATTTTAATTTTGTAGGTTTATTTTTTATAGATTTTTTATAAGATAAAATGTTTTCTTTTAGTTATTTTCACTTAATAGTTTAGATGAAAAATACTTTTTTTATAATAAAAATTGATGTACTTTCAGTTTTACGTATATTAAATGGATCAAACTAAATATTCATAAATATATTCGTAAATATCCGCAAATATCCGCAAATACTTGTAAATTTTCTAGATATCTAAAAATCCGGATATCCGTATATTTTTGGAGTAAATCAAATCATAAAATTAAATATCCGTTAAAAACGTAGCAAACCACAAATACTTAAAAAATTTCGGATAACCGATTCGCGCTCGTGACTTTATAGATTTAGGGACGTGGCAAAAAGAAGAATCTTCTCTCTTGTATTTCATTCAGCGTTGAATAATCTTTTTCGTAGACATCCCCGATACTTAACACGTGGATTGTTTATTTACCGTGAGATAAATGAAATGAAAAATATCTGGATTAAAGGTTTCTGTGCGAATTATTATAATCCACAGAAAAGAAAAAAAATTGAAACTGAGAAAAAGAAAGGATATAATATAAGAAAATAGCTCGAATTTAAGAGAATCACAAATTAACCCATTTCAGGAAAACCTTTGCCTTTGAGTTTTCATCAATCGGTTGTTTCCATTTCCAGGTTTCAATCGAAATTCCCTCTCTTTCTCTCCGTACTTTTTTCGATTTGATCTGGGTTTCATGTGTACATAGATCGATCTTCAAGTTTCGTCATCTGGGTCTTGTAAATTTCTAGGTTTTAGGGGTTTTTTTACTTGTAAAGTTTATCTTTTTTCTAATGGATTCTCTGGGTAAGTGATCGATTAGGGTTTGGGATTTTAGCGGTGGGAAAGCTGTGTGGTTCTTAAATTTCGTCTTGATTGAGTTCTCTTGCAGCTTTCTCACAGGTCGAGATTCTGGAATTGTATTAGGAGTTGGTAATCGTATAGATTGGTAGAGGATTTGGGGATTGAATTAGACGAATTACGAAGTTCTTGGTCTCAAATTGTTTCCGGAAGCTGTAGGTTTCTTGATTCTGTAATCATGGCGGATGCTATTGGTGCTGTATCTTTGGTGGGTCATCGACCTTCGATCGTGAGGATCTCTGTGAAGAATGAATCCAAATCGCAGAAATCACAGAACCTGGTTCGATTCCCGGTGAAGGTGGTAGATTTCAGCACGAAAGGGGTTTTCTCTGCTCTGATGCAGAGCGTGAGAAAGAAGCCAATGTCGGTGATACCGATCAGAGCGCTTGCTATGGAGCTGACGAAAGAGATGCCTGCGTATAAGAAGAAAGACGAGAGGTTACCGAGAACATGGAACTACCTTGATTCCGGTACGGATGACAAACCGGGTTTATGGCCTCCTGAGAACAAAGCCGATAAGCCTTCATTGCACAATCCTCTACTCAGGCAAGAACGTATGGGTTGTGGTTGGTTAGGTGCGATATTCGAGTGGGAAGGTGTGTTGATCGAAGACAATCCTGAGCTTGAGAACCAATCATGGCTGACTTTAGCTCAGGAAGAAGGGAAGTCTCCTCCTCCGGCGTTTGTACTCCGACGCGTTGAAGGGATGAAGAACGAGCAAGCCATCTCCGAGGTTCTGTGTTGGTCGAGAGATCCAAGTCAAGTGAGAAGAATGGCTTTGCGTAAAGAAGAGATCTTTAAAGCTTTACATGGAGGAGTGTATAGACTAAGAGACGGGTCACAGGAGTTTGTGAATGTCTTGATGAACAACAAGATCCCGATGGCGTTAGTATCGACCCGTCCTCGTGAAACGCTAGAGAACGCTGTTGGGTCGATAGGGATCAGGAAGTTCTTCAGTGTGATAGTTTCGTCAGAAGACGTTCACAGAGGTAAACCGGATCCTGAGATGTTTGTTTACGCGGCACAGCTTCTTGATTTCATACCGGAACGCTGCATCGTGTTTGGTAACTCGAACCAGACCATAGAGGCGGCTCACGACGGGAGGATGAAATGTGTGGCTGTGGCTAGCAAACACCCGATGTACGAGCTCGGTGCGGCTGATCTTGTGGTGAGAAGGCTAGACGAGTTATCGGTTATCGATTTGAAGAAGCTTGCGGCTGTTGAATTGACGGAATTCGAACCGGAACTGGAGATGGAGATGGAGAATGAGCGTGAGCTGCCTTCATCGTCTGTAGCAGTTGATGATTTCTTCTGATAATGGAAAGTCTGTCTTCTGTAATATTGTACAGTTTTATGGATTTGGATTCTTCTTCCTCATGTAATTCGTATTCACACAATGTTATAGTCTCTGTGTATAATTGGAACAAGGTTAAACGGGGTGGGGAAGAATATAAACGTACACTCATACATATACTTTTCGTTTTAAATCTTAGTGTTTGTATGCATGTCTAAGAACAAAAATGAAGAAATCTTTTTCCAAGTTTCAACCACAAATCATTCTCGTAATTGAAACATCTATCTATCTTGTACTAAGGAGAAATCAGATAACTTGTTATATCAACAAAGCTTATCAAAGTTTCAGAACTCAAGTTCTTGTATCTCATCGTTTTGCCAATGCTTAGACCAGGACAAGCTACGTTGATCTTTGCAGAAGCTGCAACCATGAGGACATATGATAAATTTGTCAAGCTTCTGCGCAGCGGCTTGTACAAGATTGTCAATAGGTACTGGTTCACGATGCCGAGCCAAGTTTTTTTTTTTGCAATGTGAAAGATTAAGAATCTCAAGCTTGTTTAAACCTGTGATTAGCAACAAGAGGCTTGCACTGCTGACGAAAGAGCATCGCAAACTCAACCTCTTGAGGTTCTTGAGCTAACGCACAATGTCCTTAGCAATGTAATCTTGAAAATAACCCAAATATTTCAAGTTGGTGAGGTTATGGCAGTTCTCTCCCACAGCTTTAAACTCGATTATCCCGGCGAATCTGTAATTATGAGCGATGACCAGTGTTTTAAGATTATTCCATTTACTCAATGCAAACCGAAATGAATCCTGGTTAGGAAAGGACCACCGAGGTAGAACAAGAAACTCGATGTTTGGCATCCTGGAAAGAAAAAAGAAGTATTAGACTTGCACGCCACGCAAGAAAATCTGTTTTTATGATTATAGTTGTAAAGATGAAATTTACCTCAAAGCAGCAAACATGAGATCGTCGTCAATTATAAAGGAATTGAAGCTAAAGAACAAATTCTTAGGAGTCGTGCGGCTAAAGTTAGTGATATCTGTGAGACTTTTGCGTACTCGACAAATGTCAAATAAGAACTTGCTGATCTTGTTCAAAACATTCCCAAGGCTTAGGCCTTCATCTGCTTGTTTGAGCTTGTCAAAGTCGATGGTGTTCCAGAGGGTTTTGTTGTGAGAGGCAAGGAACCAAGAGATGCAGACACGTGAAGCTCCTTTCATAAGGTCCTTTATGTCGAGCTTGAGGAAGATAAGCTCGAGTATGTCTCTGTCCAGACTTTCCCATTTTGAAACTTCTCTTGAGCTGTTTGTGCTCTTCATCACGTTACTAACTACATAAAGACAAAAGAGAGAACAACAGGTTGAATCCACATAAAATTGAACCACTTACAATGGGTTAGGGTTGAATTTTTTTTTACCTTAATTTGCAGATTCTCCTGTTAGCAAGTTCTATGAGTTACAAGGATTTTTAGGGACGAAATTAGGTTTAAGGATTTATAGGTATTCCATATTTTTAAATTAAGACAAGAAGACGATATATATGATATAGGATGGACTTTCTTCGACCACATGTTACTACTTTATTATGTAATGATTTTATTTCCTAAAACTTTGTAGAAAACTTTTTAAGCTGATTTTTCCAGTTATTTACTAGCTAAAATTTTCTAAATTCCATATTCGTGGGAATAAGTCATAGAAACTTTTGATTTAACTTTGATTTGTATAAGTCGTGGAAAGTTTGAGACGATTAAGTCAGTGACGTTGTTGCAGGTCTCTACGATGGTTTTAAGATCTTGTTATCAATTGTTATGGGTTTACAGTAGTACATCTATAAATTAATACTCGATAAATTAATAATCACTATAAATTAATAATTTTTGCTGGTCTCAAGTCGGGTCAGTGTAAAAACTAACAAATTTCGATAAGATAATAATTTTTTGAAACTTCTATGTAAAAATATAGTCTCAATAATTAGATAAATTAATAATTATACATTTAAGCATATATAAATAATATAGTATAGTAAAATATAATTATATTATTGTTTCAAGTTTATAATAATTGTTTGACTTATTTTTCAAATTCACTGATATGATATTTTCTGAATAAATTTTACATTATTAAAATTTTTTTTTATTTTTTTGACAAATATTTTGAATTTGAACTGAAATATCTCTCTATAAATTAATAATTATTAATTTATCGATTAATTAATAACTCTATAAATTAATAAATTTTTGAAGTCCTAACATTATTAATTTATAAAGGTTTTACTGTATTTATGATCAAATGATTTTACGGTTTTAGCAGAAAATGATATTTTGCAGTTTTGGCCAAGAAACAAGATTTTTTTTGTGATTTTGACAGGAATATGAGATTATGCAATTTTATAGTTAGTGGTAAAAAAACGTGACTTTGTGATTTTGGAAGGAAAACATGATTTTGCAATTTTAACAAAAAAAAAAAATTGTGGTTTTGACTAAAAAAAAATTATAATTTGAATAGGAAAATGAAATTTTATAGTTTTGGTCGCAAAAACAGTTTGCAGTTTTGACATGAAAATGTGATTTTGCAGTTTGACAGGCAAGAAAATACTATTTTGCATGACGAAAAAATGTGATTATGCAATTTTAACGGGAAAAATGTTATTCTCTCTTCTTAAATCTGGTGGATAACATGTGATCTGGCAGTTTTAGCATTAGCAAGAAACATGACGGAGACCTTTTCGAACAATTTGATATTTAATACTATTTTAGTTTTTTCTTTTTCCAACAGCCCAAATTGCTAGAAACATCCACAGTACGGTGACACTGACCCAATTGGCGTCCCCGTGCTTCATATTGTAGCTTTTACACAGTTTAACTTCAACTGTATCATACATCTTTCAGACCCATCAAATTTACTTAGCCTCAGATGTTTTAACAATCATATGAATGCAAGCCGGACAAAGCAGCACCAGATTCTTGAAAGAAAGTGATTCCCTTTGTTCTAATTTACAAACAGTTCTCACTTTTATCTTACTTTGAACTCTGAAATGAATCACACAGAGAACCCAAATCAACATTACCTCCTGAGAGTACAACCCCAATGTTCTTGCAATCTTTCCAAGAAGGATTGCTACGGAAACTCTCTGATAAAACCGCAGCTAGTCCAATGGCACCACTTGGCTCCACAGAGACTTTCAGTATCTCTAAGCACATTCTCATTGCTTTTATTATTTCCACATCTTCCAAAATCACCACATCATCTACCAAATCTCTCACTACCGGCCTGATCAAGAAATTCACAACATATATATGTTTATTAGATGGAATGTTACAGAACACTTTATGTTCTATAGAAGTTAGAATTAGATTTACCATGTTAAGTCTCCTAAAGAAGCTCTAAGGCCATCGGCTATGGTATTGGTCACAGGTAAAGTGATGATTCGACCAGCAGCCTTTGACTGAGCCGCATCATCGGCTCCTTTTGGTTCTGCGGCTATAATCCGAATGCTTGGCTTAATCGATTTAGCAGCAAGCGCCACACCAGAGATCAAACCACCACCGCTTATCGGCACAATTATAGTGTCTATCTCTTGGATTTGCTCTAACAGTTCCAATGCAACTGTGCCCTGACCACTATCCAAAGAAATCATAGTCAAAAGTTGCAGCCATAAACACATTTATAGCAGAAAAGAACAGAGAATCCCAAATCATAACACATCTTTAAAGAACTATGCGCAAGACGGAAGCTTCTGTTTTGTCTACTCAAAGAATGGATCTAGAGAAAGAGGCATTTGATCGCCATTATCAAGAAAGCTTAGATACCTTATAACACGTCCATTGTTATACGGGTGTATGAGAACTGAACCTGTTTCCTGCAAAACTTTTGAAGCTACTTTCTCTCTAGAAGACATTGTTGATTCACTCCAAATCACCGTACCACCATAACGGATCACGTTATCAACTTTGCACTTTGGAGCACCTTTTGGTACAACGATATACGCAGGGATTCCCTGAATCTTTGCAGCTAAAGACAACGCAGCAGCATGGTTGCCACTAGTAGAACAAAATCAACATTAATTTCATCATCAAATACCAAAATCACTGTTATGTCTATCATTACCTATAAGCACGTATGAATACAGCAATAATCTTTCATAGTACAGAACCTGCTGTGTGTTGCAACACCTTTTGCTGCTTGTTCTGCATCAAGAGACAAAACAGCATTGCAAGCCCCACGGAATTTGAAAGCTCCACTTTTTTATTCACAATAAACAGAAAAAGGAAAGTGATCAGCAGTGAGAACAATGAGAAAAACTTCAGAGAGAAAAACAACATTTTGCTAATAAGTACACTTACCCTTTCTGAAAGCACTCACATTTAAAGAACAAGCTTCTTCCGGAGATTGAATTCAAAGATTCAGATGTTAGCACTGGAGTTTTATGTACATACGGCTTAATACGCTCATGAGCTTCCTTTATTGAAGATATATCAGCAGCGTATTTCTGTCCATCTGCTTCCATTTCTGAAGGAAAACATTCAAAGGAACTTCATTATCACAACACAACTTCTTGCTTTATCATTCGAAAACACCATATCCTGATTATGTTTCTGTAAGATATTTACAATATGTACATAAATCAGCCGCATATTTTCCTGTATTTGCTTCCATTTCTAAAGGAAAGCAGTCGAAGGAACTTTCATTATCACATAATCAATTTCTTGCTAATCAAAGATTCAAAAATACAGTATCCTTATTGATCCAAAACCACTTCAAGTTTGTCAACTTATGCTCAGTTTTACGGATCTTTCCCTAGTTAAATCGTTTCAAGTCACATTACACAGCACTTTTCAATTACAGTTTCGATAATAAACCAGAAGCATCAGTACAAAACAAACAAAAAAATTGAAACTTTTGGGCCAATCAATAGAAATTAGACTCCTAAATCCAAAAATCTAAGACGCTGGAAGAAAAGGATTACCTGATTTCACAAATTTGGGGTTAGGGTTTAACCCTTTTTAGGATTGGGAATTGATTGGCGAGTCGAGACGTCTCACAGATAATGGGAAGTTGGGAACAGTATTCATTGAAAACAAACAGCACGATGTTATGGAGCCAAATTAAAGAACGTTGCGCCGTGCATTGTGAGCATAGAAATTTAATTACAATGAACCTTATAAATTAATATTCGATTTATTAATATTTTGATAAATTAATATGACTAGTTTTCATTTTCGTTTATCGTAATTATTTTAATAATTTTTTATTTTTTTGAAAAAACTATTTAATAAATTATTTGTAGTGTTTTTTTTGTCAACAAATTATTTGTACTAGTGTTTAACCATTCAATATTAATTTTTAGGTCTACTGAATTTTATTTTAGATGTTTGGGTTAAAATGTAGAATATTTGGAAATATTTTTTTCTCCCGAAAAAATTAATATTTAAAAATATCTATACTATTAAAAGAGGATTCTAATTTTAAATTAACATTTGTCTAACGTATTATTTACAATATTTGTCATTAATAAATTATAACAAATCATTTCACGTTTTGCCAACAATATATTTTCAATAATGCAATCAGTAATAATATCCTCAAACCGGCTTCAAACATTTCACATTTTGTCAACAAAATCATTTCATATCATATTTTTAAACCGGTTTTAAACCATTCCTGCTTCACAATTTACGGGTCGTATCTATTTTATAACCAATCAATCATCAAGACTTTGTTATTATTGAACCATTATAACTATTGACAAATGTAATATCAACGTAACTATATTAGAACCGTTAATTAACTATAACCAATCAATCATCAAGACTTTGTTATTGTATTTGTAGTATACTATAAGGGACCATTAACATAATCCCTACTTACATAAATTTATAAATATATATTCTTGCTTTATCGTGAACAATATATTTGCAAGGCACAAGACACATGTCCTAAATTATAAACAAGGATGCTGTATTTTGAATATATTAGATTTTCAAATATCAAGTTAATTAACTTGCATAACACACCAAACGAATATTCAAATCAAGAATATCCATTGATTGTATTTAACACTCTATTCCATTTAAAAAACATTGTATGTATAGTATATTGACAGTTATTCGAAATTTACAAGAGAAGCATTATCCTTTTTATAGGATTTCAGTTTTTATATATTTTATGGGTAACAGAATATTTTGTTGAGATATTCGAGATATAACTATAGATATTCTCTAATTATTACAATTTTTATGATACTTTAAATCTTTATATACACTTCTCCTATAAATTCTATCATTTCAAGTAGTTAATCTTCTCATTATCAAAACATTTACACTTCTTTTCTATCATACTTCATCGCAAAGAATATAAATTTTCTCATTGGTTATACTAACTTTCTGATATCAAACTTTTTGAAATAGGCTGGCAATCCGAATCGAAATCACTTATTTAATTAAGTGGAACACAGCACATGGTGGTGAATCATTTGAGCTAATTCTTGTTGTTGAAACTGTAAGAGAAATAGTGTTGTTTTTGTTATAGTTTATCGAATATATTTGCAAAAAATCACTTCTTATATTTTGCAAATTTTCAAATTATCTTTTGCATGGGCGTGGGTCACTGGGTCAGAAATTATTTTTTATCCTTTTCAGATTTTCAGATTTTGCATGGACACGGATAACTGGATCACAGATTACTCACGGGTTTTTTGAATTTTGCCAAGTTAATAAATTTTAGATTTTAAGAATAGAACTGGTACGGAAAAGTGATCGGGTTCCAATTTAATCGGGCGAACTGGTTGGTCCGGGTCGGGTTTCAAAACATTGCCTATAATCAAAATTGTCAAGACTCCTCAATTTCTTTTCCAAAGATCTGAAGTTCAAGAAAAAAAAGATGAATTATGAATTGTTAGGATAAGAAAGAAAATAGCAATGCTACTTTTTCTAAATTAAGATATTGAATGTTCGAAATAGAGTGATGACAACGAAACCTCTCAATGAGCTTACTAATTAGATACAAAGTTTGAACTTGGACTTCGAATTAAACCAATATATCGAACTGTCTCAAAATGTTCGGTCTAGAAAGATTGATGTTAAATGGGTTTAATATATTTTTTAACCAAAACGCGCGCATGGCGCGGATCCAAAACCTAGTTACTTTTTAAAACAATATCAAGTGAAAGAAATTGTTGGCTTGGTATGAATAGAAAATTAATATCTGAGTTTTCGTTCCTGTTTAGATTTAGTTTGGTTTTCTTTATTCTATAGAAAAAGTCGAACATTTCACTGTCAATAGTTAATTAGGGATTGTTTAATCGAGAAGAGAGAAATTGAGAATTGTCCCACATCGGTAAATTTGCACCATCAAAAGCTGATTAGTCGAATGTGCAGACTTTTTTTTTCAAGAAAAATTATTCTGTTCAAACTGAGTAAAATTTTTTTTTTGTTGGACCCTTTTTAAGGTTTAACTTGATTAACATTGTAAGTTTAGTTAGTCCACAGAAAATTCAAAATAAATGTTATATATTTCTAATTATTATGAATTATAATATATATATATATATATATATATATATTGAAAGAGAGACGTGGGTAAGTGAAGAGAGATATGAGGAGGCTTTTCTTCTATTCATATGTTCTATTACAAATGAGACACTCTCTTTATATAAAGGAGTAAGTCAGTTAGTGTGTATGTTGGTGAAATAATAGTGACAAAATTAAATGGATAGTTACATTGATTTAACACTTCTCTTTAATTATCTATTACTAATATATTTTGTAATGTTTCGTTAAAAACATTATTATAAAAAAATTTGTTTGAAATAAAAATCACAATGAGAGAAAAATAGTACAGTAACGCTTTTCCTATAAATGATGGATATAATTTTTCTTCATAGATCTCGAAGATGACGTATTCCGATGTTATGAATATGTTTTCTGAATATTATGGTCGGAAGCGCTTTTGTGAATAGATCAGCTGCATTGTCGCATAAACGAACATATTGAATATCTACTTCTTGATTTTTCTCGAATTCTTTTGTGTAAGAGAAAAATCTTGGAGGGATATGCTTGTTCGATCACTTTTGATATAACCTTCCTTTAGTTGAGCTACACGCAGCGTTATCTTCAAACACTTTTGTTGGCTCTTTCTTTGTTTCTATTCCGCTTGCATCTTGTATATGATGAATTATTGATCTGAGCCACATGCATTCCCTACAAGCTTCATGTAATGCTATAGTTTCCGCATAATTTGAAGACGTTGCAACCAAAGTTTGCTTTTGGGAACGCCAAGAGATTGCAGTTCCTCCAATTGTAAAAACATATCCAGTTTGCAATCTAGCCTTATGCGGATCTGATAAATATCATGCATCTGCAAAACCAACCATACCAAACTCGGAGTTTCTAGAATAAAATAAACCGAATTCAATGGTACCTTGTAAATAACAAAATATATATTTTATTCCGTTCCAATGTCGGCGTGTAGGAGATAAGCTGTAGTTTTCAAGTAAATTAGTAGCAAAAACTATATCTGGTCTAGTGCAAATTGCAAGATACATAAGCCCACCGATAGCGCTCATATAAGGTACTTCAGGACCTAATATTTCTTCGCTATCCTCACATGGCCGAAATGGATCTTTATCAACATCAAGCGATCTATTGACCATCAAAGTACTCAAAGGAGTCGCTTTATCCATACTAAAGCGTTTCAAGATTTTTTTTGTATAATTTGATTGATGCACAAATATATCATCTTGGAAATGCTCTATCTGGAGTCCAAGACAAAACTTTGTCTTTCCAAGATCTTTCATTTGGAACTCTTCTTTCATATGAGTTCTTGCATCATCAATCTCTTTTTGAGTTCTGATTATATTCATGTCATCAACATAAACAACAATGATCACAAATTCCGATGTGGATTTCTTAATAAACACATAAGGGCATATCGCATTGTTGACATAACTTTTACTCAATAATACTCACTTAAGTGATTATACCACATGCGTCCGGACTGTTTTAATCCGTAAAGTGATCGCTGTAATTTGATCGCACACATCTCTTTAGATGTTGATCTTAATGCTTCCGATATTTTCAATCCTTCAGGGATTTTCATATATATATATATATATATATATATATATTTCTCAAGTGATCCATATAGATATGCTGTCACAACATCCATCATATACATATCTAGATTCTTGGATGCTGCTAGACTCATTAAGAATCTGAATGTTATTGCATTCATAACCGGGGAATATGTTTCCTCATAATCAATTCCTGGTCTTTGAGAAAAACCTTGAGCCACAAGCCTCGTTTTATACCTTGTGACCTCACTTTTCTCATTTCTCTTTCTTACAAACACCCATTTGTATCCGACAGGCATTACATGCTCTGGTGTTGTGACAATAGGTCTAAAAACCTTTCTTTTACCTACGGAGAATAATTCTGTTTCAATGGCCATTTTCCATTTCTCCCAATCATGTCTTTTCTGACATTCTAATATGGACCTTGGATTTGGATCATCTCTTTCAAGCTCTTTATATACAGAAAATAAGAATATTCCATCAATATATTTTATTCTGTCTCTGATCCATAATTCTCCATTTTGGGCGTAATTGATGGAAATCTCATATTTTTCTGTTTCACATTCGTCTCCAAGATGAATCTCTTTATCTGGTTCTTCTAGAACCTTTTCACAAATGTCTTCAGGACATTTTTCTTTAAATGGTTCTTCCGGAACCTTTTTACTTTGTTCTCTCATATTCTTTTTCTTTTGGAGAAATTTATCTTTAAAACTCATCGGTCTCCCCCTCTTTAACTGAACCCTAGGTTCACTTGATATGTTCTCATCAATGTGTTCTTCAGGAACACTAATTCTGGATGGAACATTTGCTGAGGGGATATATGACTTTGTCACCCTCTTTGTATCTGTGAACGCATCTGGTAACTGGTTTGCCATATTTTGCATATGTACAATTTTCTGAACTTCCATCTCACGTTGATTGGTAGGAGGATCAAGATAAGCTAAAGATTTTGTACACCAAGTGATATCTTTTGGTGATTCTCTCAATCTTCCCCCTAACGCGGGCAATTCATCTTCATTAAATGGCAATCGGCCAAACGTGTCGTAAGCATAT